CTCCTCTGTGCTTCAGTTGTGACAGCACCTAGAGACACCAACCATGGGCTTCTCTACATTTCATTATCTTTGGACTGGTAAGTGGGAAAAGAAGAGCTCAAGAGTTTGCTGAGCCTTGTTAGAGGGGTTGCTAGGAGCTGGTACTCACCCTACCTATGTAAATTAGTTGTAGCCTTCTAGCAAATTGTTCTGGAGTGCCTCACACCCCTAAGATCACAAGAAAAATTATGATTATGGCATCTGAATGAACTGGAACATCTTGAGGCAGTGCCCAGACTTCTTTTTCACTGTACCAGGGAAATACAGCATAGCCTTGAAAACTTGTTCAGGGATCATACTAGAATACTGCTTAAATGCAACCTACTCCCACCCTCCAAAAAAGCCCCTAAGAAAGACCAGGGGAAAATCCATGCTGAAGCACACTTTTCTTTGGATGTTTTTTTTTGGGTTTTTTTTTTTTTGAGGAGAAGGAAAGATCCCACCAATACCTATCTATTACAACTTCATCCTGTACTTTCTGAGACAGTACAAAGTGGATTTCAATCAAATTAATTTTTAAAAAGTCTATTATATTAAAATGCATTTTAAATAATATCCAGTATAGAGGAACATGGTACCTCTATTATCTCATAAAAGAGCTGACCTCAAACTAAAACCTGTTTTACAGTATGTGTTTAGTTCTGAATAGAAGCCAGTCCCTAAAAATAATTAACATGAGACTTCCCCCTTGAGTGTCATCATCAATACGGGTTTTTGAACTTCCTGACAAGACATGCCGTGAGTGCTACCAAAGACAGGAAACTTGGACCCCAAGGATATCTGGCCCAATTGTCATATGGATATATTTGTTGGGGAGCAGAATAAAATTGTTCTGCTCTTGACAGACTTTTCCAAGTAATTTCCGAGTCTGATGACCTAAGGTATACAGCAGAACTCAGCTTCTGAGCCTCTGGAAACAAAAACCAGACTACCTCTTAGTTCTACCTATGGCAGTATTAATCCCTTTAGCAAAGAATGAAAGAAGATAATGTGTAAACAGAAAAGATTATAAGGCACTTTTATTGCTTATAGTAGAGGTACTGTGAACAAAATTATAGTTTCCTGCTTAGGCAAAAATGATGCATGTACATGGCTTCTATGGCACACAGCACAGCTATCAAAATAAAGAGGAGTCTGCCCAGTTATCCAGATGGCAAATTCCTATTATGATACATAGAGATGGGTCATTCTTGTCTCAGAAAGATACTATAATTATAATTTAAAAAAAAAAAATATCTAGTCATATTGTTCTAGATTTACTAGAGGAACATTTTGCCAGCCTAAGTATTATGTACTTAAATATTTTTCAATGTTTTTAATTAGAGATGATTGCTTAGGTAACTTCAGTTAAACAAATCTGTTTGATGATGCATCAGTATGTACAGACAAATCAGTGGATCTACACAAGGCTGCTCTGGTTACAAAGTTTAAGAAAATTCACACTTGAAAAAAGGAATTGTGTGATATTAGGTCAACGTTCTAGTAGTGACACTGACAGCAGTACAGTTTGCACTTTTCTCTGAGCAATATTCCCTGTTAAGTGTCTGATTCCACTCCCACTTTTAAAATAAAAAGCATTTCCACTGAACAAAATGAAACAAATCTCTGTATAAATAACTATGATTACCAAATCACTTTAAAGATGGGGTCAGATCATATGGACAGTCAGGTAGAAATACACAACATATTTCAGCCATAATGCCACATTTTAAGGTTAAGTTGCTGGAATTTACATGCTTAGTTTTTCCAGCATAGATTCTCACACAGATATACAGAATTGCTAAATGAACACTGAGAGCAAGGTACCTATCTTCTCACTTCTTGCTACATATTTTACTATTTTAGTGCTATTAAAGTAGATTTACATTTGATAGATTCACATTTAATAAATTTAAGAAACAAAGCCATCATACATTAGAAAAACAGTTTTTAACAGATTTCTTGAATAAAGCTCAATATTTATGTCACTGTCCCTTGTGTCATAAAAATCGTAACTCTAACATGCACAGAATCTGTTTGTTTCACTGCCTTAATTTCATTAGTGCAGAAGCATTTGGCTACTACCTGTCACCATCTGTAATTGTGTAACACTCAAAGGTCATGGTTAGGGGAGAATTTTTTTTTTTTTTTCCTATATACTAATTCAGTTTCAAAACACTGAATGGAGATATTGAATGATCTCTCTCCAACTTAAAATTTTACCTTGCAGTACAATTACTTTTGTGATCTTCATGACCTGGTCTTTTGGGACAGAGACCAAACCTTCCCGTTTTTTGAAGTTCCTGAGTACCAGTTACCGTCCTCACACAACAAGATATTAACCACTTCCATGTACAGTCTCAGTAATATTAACCTTATTATAAGCCTCATTATTTTTCATTTATGTTCACATGTGCCAAGCCAACTACATTGCATTTTTGCAGTAGTAAGCCTTTTATACTGGATTTTCTGAAAATACCAACCAACCAGTCCCCGTGCCCCTTGCTCCCACCAACAAAATATAAATCAAGCCAGAGGCAGTTTTCCACCTGCCCCCAGCATGGTTGTACTTCACATGCAATTCATTTTGGTATGTAATAGTTTTTCTAGAGCTAGCTGGATTAATGAAGTATTTTAGCAGGAGAAGGAAGTTAAAAATACATGTATCTATTCATATCCCTCTCTTCAGGATTTGCTTTATTTCATAACATCAGAACAATTCACCTTCCCATTTGTTCTTTTTCTCATCCAGCATTACTCGAGTTTGCTATCATATACAAAGCAGTAACAATGGAGGTGTTTCTCACTGGAGGCACTTTTCATACCCATCATAAACAATGTGCTTAAAATTCCAAAATAGAAGAACCATTAAATCCAGGATTATGTTTATGCTTGTACATACTTTCAAAGAAGCTGACCAACTTGTTTACAGCCTAACTACAGAAATCCTATTCCAGAATCAGGACTGTAACTGTTACCTTTACTGTAAAGGTTAGTTTCACCAAAACAAGAAATTCTCTCTCAATAAATGATTGTGCTGATCTATTGAAAGTTTCAGAAATATTAGAAAGCAGTAATCCTCCTCTTAGTTTAAGGTAACATCAACATTTAATCCAGACAACTGCTTTCTACTTCTTTACCACAATTGCACCTAACTGTCTACAGTTTGCGGATCACTTAAAACCTTAACCAGAGTGGTAAAGCATAACCCCCACTACTTTGTAAAGAAGGTCAAGAACTATAGAATCTTTTTATTCACTTCCTTCAAATGTCTTTAGAACTGGATTTTTTGTGCATGTGTTCATACAAAGTGGCATGTGTAAGGGACGAGCCCCAAGTGACCATACTGTAAGCTGAGGCAATGCCCTGAGAGGTGGGACCAGAAGTTTAGTCATGGGGAGGGGGCTGGTGTCACCTCTCTTGATTTGACTGGTGTCTCAGCCACTCCTGGAACTGGGGCAAGAGAAGGTTCCAAGGGTCCAGGAACTGAAACCAATAAATAGGGGCACATGTGAGTCTAGAGAGGGAGTCACCCTCTCTCTCTCCACCAAAGCCCCCGTTGGCAGGTCCAATACTTGATTCAGAACTGTTGATCTTTCTATCTCTCCCTCTATCTTTCTTCCTCTCTATTTCTTTCTCTTTTCTCCTAAAGTTGCTAATGTGTTAAAGGCCTGCCTTGGTTTCCCATAAAGCCGCATAGCTTAGGTAGATAAAATCATGGAATTGCCAGCATTTACAGAATGTTTGCTCTATGTCCTCATTAAAGTTGATGTCTACGTACAGACCTTGAGTGCTATCTCACATTAATCCATACTGAGGGGATCTGCGAATACTAGTTGCTCCCCTCTCTCCACAGGTGGGACTTGACAGTATGTCAGAAGGCTGGCTGGTACATGACTCCTCACCCTTTTTTATCCCATCCTACTAGTCTTTAGCTCTCTGGCAGATACCATGGGGAGTGATTAATGTATGACATTTCTTTGTTGATGAGTAACATGAACAAACTGAGAAATCCAGCACCTAATTTTTTTTCAAAGTACAGCCACGAACTACCTATGAACTGGGATGCTAACTTTCTCCAGAGAGACAATATAAAATACAGATTCTGTGTCTGAGGCAACTAAGATAAAGTTATGTGGAAATCTGGGGCTGTTTTTCAATGCCACCCTGGTAATTAATTACTTACAACCACATCTTGATTCAAAATGCTGTAACTGAGGTTTAGTTTTCAGAGAGATACATTTATACTGAAGCTTAGTTCTTATAAATTTAACAACAGTATAACACTTATGGATGAGAAAAAACTTATAGTTTCATTACATATAATAGGAGCAGCAAATAAAAATTAAAACTTTTAAAAACTGGAAAGTATGATAAATAGATGTAACGTTATTAAATTTTGAAGTTCAACATGCTGGACCAATGCACACAAGGAACTCAAGAAAGAAACACGTGCCCCTGATGAAAGACTGTTGTTTAGAGGCCATCCATAATAGCCGTCAAGTGAAACTGCCTTACAGCCAGACTATAAGTAGAAAAAGCTTCTTCCAAACTGTGTCAAACTTTCAAAAGTTAAAGTTTCAGAGAATAACTTACAGCTCTTACAGTGCTTTCACTCATATACTTTAAGTCTGTCTAAATACATTTTTAATACTGTAGCCAGTAATTAAAAAAAAAAAAAAAGATTCTCACAAAGAGACAACTGAGACCTAAGACCTACTGAGCTTTACTGCACAGAATAACCTCTCAATTACATTAAAATTGCTACTGTTTATCCCAGCAACAAATGTGACAAAGTCTAACTCTGTATTCATTGTTCTCTTTAAAAGTTTGATTCAAGTGAATTACACAATAGGTCTCCAGTATATTCAGATTATTGTTACACTAACAGGTCACAACACATCAACATTATTTTTGATGAGTGGAAGCAATTTTTCTTGAGGGGGAAAAAGAAAAAGTAAATGTAATAAAATGTGTATTACCTTGTCACTTTACAGCTTGACTCAACCAGCTCATTTTCAATATCCAACAGACTAGAAGGCAGATTGTATTCCAAAGGTGAGGCCATTCTTTTTAAACGCAATAAGCCAACACAGAACTTAGCTCCCATCTCCTCCAGTTCTCTTGTCCCTATCTGCAATCCCTAATTTAAAAATAAGATTTAAAAATACAAAATAGGTACTTGCAGATGGACACACACATACTGCATAATTACTATTTAAAACACATTTCATTATTTTACTTAAGACACTCTCTCTAAAGACAGAACAAATAAGAACTGTAAACACTTAGCAAGAGAAAAATGAAAAAAATTAGTGAATTCATATCGTAGCTGCAATCAAATTCGTTGCTATGTTCTGACACACAAATAAGACTATTTAAGGCAACAAAGTTACTCCATGACACAAACATCTCTTCCCCTCCTATAAATTAGAGGCTACATGTGTTCATTCTGAAAGCATTTATTCACACATCTAGTACTTAAAAGCAACAAACATAAAGTATCAAAAGCCACTGCTGTTTTCTACCTGGAATGATATACCAAGGCATCTTCCTCTGCAAAGAGTATTTAGGATGTAGAACTTATGTAATATTCTCCAAGTTTACATGTGATGAAGCCTTCCATCAGATAATTCTACATCTTTAATTTAGCCAGCAGTGCACTATGTAGGGACACAGCCTCTAACCTCAACTACTTTATGAAAAGAGAATGATATTCCAGAGTGACTCTCAACACTTATGGAATTGGCCAGTACTGACTGTATATACACTAACAAATTCAATGGCACAGCCCAAGTCAATCTCCCCCTTAGTAATTTCTGCATCTCAGAAGAATTTAAAAGGATCTTAGTTTGAATCTTCTACGCCTCTTAAGGTAAACTGTAGTTAAAAAGGATTTTTGAAAAAACAAGCAGGTAAGCAGAAGAACCAAGTCTTGGTGGTAAGCTAAGTCATCAAGTAGGAAAATGCATGATGCAAAAGAATAGAGTAGGAATTTTTTTCACTAAAAGCTAAAAAACACACACAAAAGCTTTGTATATGTTGCCATATTGACACTGTATTTTAAAATGCAAGCTTTATGAGAAAGTGTTATGTTGCTCCAGAAATGGTACAGTCCACACATCCTTCATGTACTTCTGTTTTGAACATATGCACACTTAATAAATGGAAAGTCTGATTTTATTTTTCTAGGGAGTTCTTTTTTTTCCTTAGTAGTCTTCATAAACAAAGTGCTTTTTAGTAACAAGAAAGATAAAGCTCTATCCACCACTCTGAACAGTGCCATCCTCCAGTCGAATGGTACAGAAACCTGTTAGCAGTGAACAAGAGTTGGATATTTGAGTATTATTGTGAATAGTAATACTACTTACCTCTTTTATAATGCTTTTGTGCTGTAGGTTTCAAAGCACTTTATTAATAAAGGAAGAATTATCCTCACTTTACTGATGGAGAAATGGAGGCAGCGAGGGTTGAAGCGATTTGCACAGTGTCTCACAGCATGTCACTGACCCCGCTGGGAACAGAAATCAGTTCTCCTCACTCCCAGTGCAGTACCTTATCCACAGAGGCCAATTTTTTGTTTTTGTTTTGTATTTGTTTGCACGTCAGTAACATTCGAAGACCCCAACCATAGCTGGGGCTCCACTACGCTAATCACAGGAAGACACAGTCCCTGCCCCAAAGAGATTAAAATAACATTAAGGACAAGAGGCAACAAGTATGCGGAAGTGGAAGAACGGTAACAGTAATCTCACTGTTACACATATTACTAATGTGCACAGCTTGTTGATTCAGAAACTTTTCCAATCATCGTCTACATCTGTTGCTGAAGAAGTTACCGTTAGTTGGCAGATTCCTTATAGACAGCATAATAGGGGTGTCTCTAAGTTGAAAAAGGACAAAAGTACAGTTTGAAAGGAAGTGCAAAGACAATTGTTAGAAAGATAAATAGCGTGTGCATGTTCTGTGGCTGCTATTTTCAGCACAGCAGAAAGAGGATATAACTAAAGAGAGACCTAAATGGATCAGATTGGAGGTGGATAACTGAAGTGCCTGGATGATAAAGTTTGAACTTACTATACTAAACAGTCTACATACTTGCAGTAAATGCCCATGCCAAAGCCTAGATCTGCTTCTGCTATTTCTTCAAGTCATAATGGAGAATGCAATACCACACAGCTGCCAAATACCATAGTTCTTAATCCATTATTATTCTTCCATCAGCCAAATCTCTTAATTTCCATTAAACAAGAGACCCAAAGTCTATTCCAGGAAATAGTAATAGACAGTTGCCCTAATTAAGAGACCTGAAGTGAAGTTCATTTTTACAGAAGCCTTGATTAAACTCCTCTTCTTGATCTTCTAATTACCTTCAACTGTTGTTGACTGTGACCTGTTAAGAGTTCTTTACATCTTATAAGCATTGCTTTTAAGCATGATCCATCTGGAAGTAGCTGCTTTTAAAAAAAAAATCACTGAATTTCATTCCTTTTTCTTTACATTTTATACATCTGTCTTTCTTCTAAACAGTAAGCTGGTTGAAGTCTTCCTTACTAAGCATGTCATGAAATACCTTCACATGAAGAGAGTGTCTTGGTGATGAGCTTTGCTTCCTGCAAGCAAAGATGCAAGACAGACTGTGACCTCAAGTTGAGAAGAATATTCCTCAATATGAGTTTCATTAATTGAAAACAGCCATACTAGGATTTGGAGAAGTCAGTTGGACAGTAAAATACCACCTCACTCTTCTTTCTTATTCAGTGGAGGCTACAAAGATGTGATCATTTTTGAGAACTCAAGAACTAGAGACTGAAGAATCACAGTAAGTGACAAAGTTTGTTGACTGAATCCTTATCTTCCAAAGTCTTCTCTTAATGCACATCATAAAACTGCCAGGTAATAAAATCTTTTTGATTAACTTAAAGATTAAGCAATACTCCCAAATTTATTAATCTCCAATCAGGATAGGGATTTATTTCAATTTTCAGGTGTTTTGTAATAACGAAGAAATTGTTATCTCGTCTGGCATCTTAATTATCCTTCATAGTAGGTCTTGGAGCACCTTTTCACCTGAACGTTTGCTTTTAGTATCTTGAATCACAGATGACTGAGCAATATTTGCAGCACTAATTCTCAATACACTACAAAGACCCCATGCAAGCAATTAAAACAAGATTTTTTCCCGAGGTAACTCTTTCGCAAAGGATCCTAAAGAATTGTTAACTTTAGTTCAACAGCTTCCTGGCTGGAAATAGTCTAGTATCACAATTGTCTGAGTAAAAAAAAAAAAAAAAAGAAAAAAAAAAAAAGAAAATTTGATGTTCTGTTATTTTCCAGCTTTAGCGAAGACTCAGCATTTGTTTCACAAAGTACAGAACTGTTGAGTAATCTTCTTTGTGCTTTGAACAAAATTCAGCGATGATACCAAACCAGAAGATGACTGGAAAAGTGCTTCAGACCTTCAAATGATACACAGTCCAGTTCCTCAGATCTGTCATGTCTTTTGGGGTGTGAAGTAGAAAGGGAAGGAAATTCTACAGTTCAACTCCTCTCTGTGTTTTAAAATAACATATTATGAAATATGTCACCTCATTTATACCACAAATTTATTCAGAGTTATTGGCTCCACTCCTTACACACACACACACAAAAAAGAAAGGTTGAGCTGTTTCATCTCTTTGACTTTCTCACTGGAGAACTGTTGCTCTTTTCCTGTTCTGTCTAATCATCCTGGCCTTTTAGATACATTTCTCAGTAAGTCTGAGCATTATCATAGTGAAGAAAAAATGAAGAATCTTCCTGTATATTCAGAGGATGACTAAGACCTCACAAATTGTTTTATTCCAAATGAAATGAATGACAGAACAGCAAATTGATCTCATCAGTTAGTTTAAAATACATAGAAGAATGCTTCCCTTCTGAGTAAATTATTTTTCCACAGAATTCAGCCATCTTTTTCCTCCCTTACTGAAGAACAGCTTTGCAGGTTAAGCATCTTGAAAATTTGACCACAAAGCATCTTCAATTCACCTTTCTTAAGAACTTTCTGTAGCAACACTGCTAAAGCCATGAAGGTTAATGTATAAGAATATTCTATAAGTTTCAAAAAAAGCAAGTTGGATGAGTTAAAAGCTCCATAATGATGTCACGTGAACAATAATGGGATGCTCTGCCAACCGCAGGAATGCTTCTCTTGTTACTTGACAAAGTTAACTCATTCTTTTAGTGATTACAGACCTACTGAAATCCCTACCAAAATATTGGTCTTCCTTCTGGCTAGGGAGATAAGCATGGGTGTTGGAACATACATTAATAAATTAAATATACCTTGTTCCAACTTCTTGGTTTTTGTTCGTGACCCACTCCCACACACCTTGATCCCAGCCTTCTGATCCTCTTCTTTGTCAAGAACCTTATTTGAGTCTTGTGGTCATTTTGTTGATTAGCACTCCTAAACTCTATTTTCAAGCAGAGGAAACTGCGACTTCTTCCATGAATGTTCATTTTTAAAACTTGCTAAATTTATTTACAGCTAAATTTAACCCAACAACAGAGAGTTGAAGATCAAACGCTAACATGGTGGTTCTTTTTTCCCTGTGAATATTTTCTTCGAAGTAAGTTTTTTACTAGTGAGAAACTACAAACAGGGCCACCTTTTGTTTTCAAATATCCAGCCCTGTTAACACTTCTGAAGGAGATAAATTAAAAACAAGTTTTAAGTCAAGAAGTCAAACAACTATGATGAGTTCAGAGATGTGTAATGTGTATTTCTGGTAACCTACTACAAAAGCATTTTGATTTATAAGCCTGTTTCAGCAGCTACACAGGAAAATTCCGCAAGGGACACGACTAGGTATCTGCTGAAGAACCATGAAGTGCCACGGTAAAGTCTGAAATTGCCGTGTGTAAAGGAAATTTTAATTCTAGTATTGGTATTTATTACTGCCCAATTTTAATCATTTACTGGAAAGAATTGTTCTGATTTTTTTTTTAACTACCGACATCTATGTATGTTATAAGCAATAATTAATATCAATCTTGTTAAAACAGCCAGTAAACATAACATACTATGGGGAAAGGGTTAAGTGACAGATGAAGGATGTTATGCAATTGATAATACCATAAATTATGTAATTTCACTCTAACATTAATGTACACAGATCTTAGGTGAGTTTCAAAAGTTGAAAGCAAGCAAGCAAGTGGGGTTATAGAACAAGATACCAACGCAAACTGGAGAAATTATAAAGCCATAACAGTTAAACTGATATATTTCCTTACCTTATATTTGCCCTGGTCACATCCACATAACGTGCTTTCCATTGTATAGCTCCTTTGTACTCCTATCTCTCTCCAGACAACAACTCGCGCTGTTGATTCCTTGGACTTTTCCACTACAAAGCTGCAGCTGCCCATGCAGAATGCTGGGGCAGTTTGACTCAGGATCTTGGGGAGTGCCTGTAGAACAGCAGTTTGAAAAAATCAGCAGTTCTTTTATTTCACTTACGGAAGCACGGGGGAGGGAAGTATGCAATCACAAACTGTTGTGAGAAAATTTTGCGGCAATTTGAATTAAAAGAACAAGAAAACATTTCTCCATATTGAGTTTTCAAAACCCAGTGTGTTCAAGTGACAACAGACTTGCTATTTCCTACTTAATAAAATCTTCTTTTCCAGAGTCAATCACTAAAATTAAGTGTTAGTCAAGTGGGTAAGAATCAGGATACAAAGTAATTCTTCAGGTGATCACCATCTGCTCCTAATTCACCAAGCTAACTTTTCTCAAATTAAGTCTACTACGTACTCCATACGATTAATTAATTTAATTCAGTTTCAGTCTGTTTCAACAATCCCATTTGCAGACCTCACACAGGCAGTATTTTATTAAAACATGAAATTCATTTGTATTCAGCAAAACAGTAGGCACATATTTGACTTCAAGAATGTGAATCAAAGTTCACCATAGCTGTTTACATGACAGCTTTGGAAAAAACAAGAAACAGTTCAGCAAATGTATGTATTTGACTAATACTAATTGACTACATTCTTTCCAGCTTTTATTTGTATCAGTTACGCCAAAACACATGACCACTTTGAATTTACTATTTCAGAAGTACATGTACTATTATTAATGTAAGCTTGCCTAATTATTTGTCTTGGGTTTGAGTGAGTGGTGGGGTTTTTCGGTATCAGGGGAGGGGGCTACAGGGGTGGCCCCCTGTGAGAAGCTTCTCAAAGCTCCCCCAGCTCCGAGTCAGCTCCACCTCTGCACCAAAACTGAGCCAATCAGCTGCGCCTCTGCGATACCGTATTTAGAAGGGACCTGGTGACATGCAGTGGGACTTGTGAGGAGGAGTTGCTGCAGCTGCATGAACACCAAGGTCAGTGGGGGAACGGAGGAAGAAAGGAGGGGGGAGGTGTGCCGGAGCAGAGACCCCCCTGTATCCTGTGGTGAGATGGCAGGGCGGCCCCCCCTGCCACCCATGAAGATCTACGGTGGAGCAGACATTGATTTGTGGCCTGTTGCTCCTGCTCAGATGATCAAGGTGCTGTGCCCGAATAAGGCCGGGGTCTCATGGGAAAAGGTAGCCCCACTGCTGTAATTCAGCACTGGGAGGATTGCAGCATGCGGGGGTGTCCCACACCGGAGCAGCTCGGGAAGGGCTGCAGCCGTGGGAGGGACTCCAGTTGGAGAAGATTGGTGTCCCACACTGGAGCAGTGTGGGGAATGCTGCGGCCCGCGGGAGGGACTCATGTCGGAGAAAGTTTGTGGAGGACTGTCTCCTGTGGGAGGGGGACCACGATGGAGCAGGGGGAGAAGTTCCAGAAACTCCCCCCACCAAAGATGGAGGAATTGGCAGCACTGACTGCACCCCCCATTCCCTGCCCCTGCGCCGCTGGGGGAGGAGGTAGAGATATCGGGAGCAGAGCTGAGCCTGGGAAGAAGGGAGGGGTGGGGGGAAGGTGTTCTCAAGAGGTGGCAATGCTTCTCACTGCCCTACTCTGTTACAAAGTGTTGTGTGTCTGTAATAAATGTATGTTCTTATTTTCTTCCCCTAACAAGTCTGCCTTTTGCTCATGACCATAATGGGTGATCTGCCCCTCCCAGTCCTATCTCAAATCCCAAACCTGGCTCATTTGTCCCTTCTCATTGCTGGAAGAGAATGGGGAGTGAGTGGCTGTGTGGTGTTTGGCTGCTGACCAGGCTCAAACCACAATATTTCAGTCCTCCTTTTTGAAACCATAAGACTTTTCCCCACACTCCTATTGACTATTGTCTTTTGTGCACTACGGTAGTGCAGGCTGAAGTGACAAAACCCCATATAAATATGTTGCGCAGCAGACGTGAATGGCATCAGACTCAGCATCCAGGGAACCATACAAGAAAACTGAGAAGCAATATAATTGTTTTTTTTTAAAGTGAGGGAGGTTTGAGAAAAAAACAAAATAAATCTGTACTCATTTACAGTCACGGATGCATAGCAAACGTTTTAACGTGAATTCACAGGCTTTTCAAGCTTAACTGCATCCCAAAAAAACCCACAGGGCCTGGACGCGTTAGGTTGCATACATCTGCACTTGCCACAAGGCGGCAGTGGAGTTACACAGAAGAAACAGGTAACGCATTATTCTTTTAAATCTTTTGGAATTTTTGAAAGCTTATACACCACAGTGGATGTTGTTTGTGCAAGTTTATTATGGCACATGCCTTTACTACACTGCTGATTAAGAGGAACCTTACCTACTTCCACACAAAAATTACTACTTCTCAAAAAAATTCAGTATTTTTATTTTCTTGACTTGCTTAAATGGCTTCTTTCATTCAGTCATTATAAATGCACAGAAGCATAGTTTCCACGTACTTACTATAACAGTAACGTTGAACACAAAAAAACACACATTGGTACAAAGACCCAGAAAAATAAAGCAGTCTACTTATATAAAATCCTTAGCCATATTAGTGTACAATGTTTAAAGGCTTCAACATGCTTTGAAGTACACTCATGAACTAAAAAGAGATCTCTCTCTAAGTCTGCTTATGCTACAAAGTCACTATGTGAGAGAATAATATTGGGAAGTTATTTGAAAAATATATTCCAAATTCATGCCAAGTGAAAAAGATACAAATGTTAAACTTACCCTATAACCAGGGTCTTCCATCAGGTCACAAGAGGCAGCATTAACATTTGTGTGCCACATTGTCTCTTTGATGCTGCAGCCATACATGAATACATTCTTTTTACGAGAGTGACCATGATAATCACAGTAGACCTAGAATAAATTATTTGGCAAAATAAAGCCAAGGCATATGGAATTAACATTTTAATAAAAGGAATAGAAGGACAAATTAAAATTTTTATTTGTACTTCTGAAAGTTCCAGAGAATTAGGTAACACAACTCCTTATATAATTTACTTGTTCATTAAGACAAAAACCATGATTCATCTAAGGAAGGTTTAACCTTCTAGCCTAGCAAAGGAAACAGATTTAAATCTAAAGGTCTGCAGAAGACCTGTTCTCCAAGTCAAATTTAAGTGTGACACAGTTTACAAGACTGTATTAGAATGTTTAATTTACAGACTAGCTACACAGACATGGTTAAAAAGATTCAGAATTGCTTACACACACATACTCACCAAAGGCAAACGTTTTATAGCAGCCAGATATTGCAGTAACCCTTTAGCATGGTAAATAGTGGGATGCAGATCTGGATTTGGATTTTGCCACTGTCTGTTTAAATCTTCTCCACTTAAAGAGCAACGGTGGCTATTGTGGGGGGGGTGGAAAAACGCATGATGTAGTCTACATTATCATACTTTTAAATAAGCCTCCCCCCCACCTCAAGTTTTCCTCATCACCACTGCTTCTTTGGAAGGAGTCTGGTAAGAAACAAACTTCAGTTTTCTAACATGCCAAATAATAGAAGTGTTTGGGGGTTAAGTTATGTTACAGAAAACCTAAAAATAAATTAGAAGTAGCTTCTTATACAAAAGTCAGTTGTAATGTTGCTTATTTGCTGTTGAAACTGAAGGCTTGTGATTCTATTCAAACGCTAGTCTGAAATCACTAATTTTGAATATATGGTATCTTTATAGTTTTGGTGTCTTCACTTCTGTAATATAAAGACTAATGCCAACCAGAAATCTAAGACTTGAAACATGAAGTTGCTAGGAGACAAGTAGCTGTGAGAAAAACAAGAAAGAAAAAAAAAAAAAAAAACAACCAAAAAACCCAGTGAACAAATAAAGATCATCTCTGTATTCAGACAACTATCAGCCAGAACTTTTAAACTTGCAGAAATTCATGTTCACGTAGTCATCTTCAGTACATTTGTCTGTAGATTGTGTCTGCTGGGACAGATTTCTTATTGTCCCCGTATTAAACTTTTACTCGTATTCTGAATTATTTAATTCCAGGTGTTCTGTTATATGTTTGCTTTTACATATATAAAGATAGGGTTCTACTCAAATGCGCAATTTATTAGATTCTTATTATTTTGTTCACAAAACCTTTTAAAATACTACCCATGACTAGGTTGAGAAGGAAGTGTAGATTCACCATACCAAAATTTCCATTTCCTATGAATTCCATCTAACCCAGTAAATATAACCTGCTGAATGCTTACCCATAGCAGTATCGAAAGATTCTGAAATATCCCTTAAATTTATTAAGAGAAGTGGCAGTAAGTGAAAGAATTACTATTAATAATTTTAATTAAATCAGGATACTCTCTTTCACTTTCTCTTGCACACCTATGAACCTTCCCCCTTTTAATGACATTTGACAACAGCCATTTCCATAATATCCTTCTAAAAACTATAATTAAAAAAAAAAACACAAAAAGCTTTCTCATACAAGGACTACTCTTTTTCATGAGAAACATGAACTTGCTTAGCTTTTCCTAAAAGCAGCTGTCCTCTCATGTAACACTCTATACCTATCCAAGACTGTAGTTCAGAGTCAATTAGAAAAAATGCCATGTCAAATCACATAGGAATGATTATGATCCATCAACAACTGAGAATACTTTCTATAAAACTTAAATTCATAGAACAATATATCTGCCTTTAAAAAGGCCAAAAATTTAAAAGTCCTAGCAATTTTGAAATCCTTTTTTTTTTTCATATCAAGTATTTCATTTTTATGTTTCCAGGATTAGTTTAGATTTTTTTTTTTTAATAACAGATGCAAAGACTTAGTAGTACAGGTTACATATTTGTGATTAAACTTATGCTTACTTGCCATTGATGACACCATCTGGATTGAGCATGGGAATAATTTTGAAAATATAAGATTCTCGTAAACTTTGGGCACTTGGATTATTGCTCATAAGGTATTCCAGTGTTCCTTTCATAACCCAGCTTGCATTAGTCTCTCCAGGATGTACACGAGCAGACAGGAAAACATAAGGACGATTCCCTAAAAGAAGTATGCATAGAAATTGCAAAATATGACTCAATCTAAGTGAAGTTGGTTAACTGAAAAAAGAGGCAATAGCCAGCTTCATTTACTACAATGCAAAATACAGTACTTGGAGTTGAGTATTATTATCATTATTTTTGATAGAGCTTGCCAAAATATTGTTATAAGGACTGCTAATTACAGAACTCTCACAATGGAGCTTTAAATTCAAACAGGCAAACTTATAGTCACAACTAGTTTGAGCTTGCAATTATGATATTATGACTTTGATGGCTTTTTTCCCAATAGCCAAGAAAAATACTGGGATGGAGGAACAAACCAGGAATGCTGCCATAAGTAAAGCTCACTTCACACTGCAGTAGCTTAGATACTGACTTTATGACAGATTTTTTGACAAGCAAATAACCTGAGCATCTGGAGAAGAAAGTTACTTGGAAATCAGGTATTCTTTTTCAAGAAGTGCTGTCTACAAAATGTACCATACAAAAGTATCTAGCAACTGATCTAAAATATATGAATACACATACTCTTATATATCCAGATATAAATATCCTTATTTGACTATCACAAATAAATACTATTAAAAACAAAGCACATCCTAAATATTGATGCCTCAATTTCATTAAATTCATTAACCCTATTCTCCATTGCTATTTTTACAATGCACAATACTAAATTTTTTTCATAAAGAGCTAGTTTTACATTATTTTCATTTGATGAGAAAGAAAAGTCATACTTACTAAACTGACAGATATGTTCATAGTAATTGGACTCTGGCATGGCTGTAATAGTGACTAAGGGACAACTGTTGCCAGCCAGGGTCTCACAGAGAATGTCTTGTCGAAAATATATCTGATGAGGATTGTGCATAGATTCCAGCTTCTGAAGATGCATCTTCATCCCAAAATGAATGAAAAAATACTTCAAATATTTTACAGTCATGTATCACAAAGTATTCCACAGGTACTATTAAACCAATCTTTTTTCTTGTTGTTCTAAACAATGTTCAAGTTTCCATCATAATTTTGACCATGCAGTATCATTCTCTACATCTCTTACTGACTGACTGACTGCTTCTCTTTATAGAGGCTGTTTTTCCGACTGCTTTAGGGAAGATGAAGGGACAGAGGGTACATTATTTTCTAACAGATGATACTGTAAGGACATGTGGAAGGTTGGAACCTCTGCTTCATTAAGGTTATCTGATCAGGGACTTTTTCAGTGCAAAAGGGGATAACAAGTAAAGGGAGAATCAATAAACAGGAACAGAGAGAAACAAACTTGGTAGACAAGACACAGCAGAAACATTTCCAAAGACCAAATTCTCCAGTCTCTAACTGATGGGCCATTAATAATCTACAGGCAAAGCTTTGGAGAGGGTCACCTGAGGGACAAGGAGGAAAGAAGAGAAACATAAGGATTTGAGATATTCAAGGGGGGCCTGTGGGACTACACACAGCTTATGCACTTGATCCCTACAGTCTGCCCTTAGCTATCTGTGCAGCCTCACTCTCTATCCCATGCATGCAAGCGCTGTGTGTACCGGGTTCAAGTAACAAGAAAGGTATGAGTGGATTTGGAGTCAGCATCTAGAATGAGCAAGGGTCTCTGCATCAGTAGTTGGAGAGGCCTCACCTCTTGGGAGCACCTCTGTGGGCAACACAGACTTTGTGTGCAAATTGCCAGCTACTGTTGGGATCAAAATGAGTGGGCTTGGTGCCAGCAGCTGGAGCTGTAGGCCATGTAGGGACCCTTCAGTTTGTAGTGTCAGCAACAGAAGCAAGAAGGGGACTTCGTGCCAGCTCCTGGAGTAGGTATGGGTCTCGATGTCCAGCAACTGGGGAAAGAACAGCGCGTATCCCAAAAAACAGCTAGTGGGGCGATAGGGGCTCGTGAAGCAGGGGAGGGTGTCCCAGCACCTGCAGCAGGAACATGGGTAACGAGCCCATGTGCCTGGTAGAGGCTGCTGGGGGCAGGGGGCAAGCATATGCATCTTCCCCAAAGCTCATGTGCGTGGGGGAGTAGATGTGCAATTTGCTAGCAAACTTCAAGGTGGACTACTGACGTGCGGAAATAGACTCCACAATCTGATAGATTGTAAAGTAGGTATGTTTATTCAGCGCTGAGGTACACAGGGGATAACTCCTCCTATTGTGTACCCAACGTGGGGTGCTGTTACCTTAGATTTATAGAGCAAATGATTACATATTCATAATATTTCGCAATACGCCTATACATATTCAACACCTATCCCCGCTTCGTATTATAATTAGCATTTCCATAATCTCCTCCTAGTTGAGTCTGCGCAGTGTCTTCTGGTGGTGGTCGTGGGGGTCTTTGGGGATGAAGTCAAGCTCCTCTTCCTCCTGTCCGCTCTGTGACCCCAGGTTTTGCGCATACTCAGTTTCTTACTGGCTGTTGTCCAAACCGTGGGTCTAGTTCCAACCGGCTTGGTACTGATAAAGCCTAGAGAGCTCACCGTGTTTTGTAAACTGTCTGCTCACTAAGCAGACAGTTAACCGTTATCTAAACTATTTCCCTTGAACTATTTTCTTTTGTTATCCCCTTCTTGCTATTATCCCCTTCTTGCTATTCTCATGTTAACCCTTACATCCCCTGTTCCTATCTTGGCCCTGTATCACTACCCAGTAAGCGTGAGGCCCGACATCAAGGCAGGGCTATCAGGTGGTCAGAGTCCATGCTGGCACCTGGGGGGGACCACCAGTGTGGAGTGTGTGTGAGTGTGAGAGTGCACACATCTGTTTAATAGTGAGCATCAGGCTGGACTAGTCTGCAAGTTGGAAGCCTGCACAGCAGGTAAGAGAGACTGAGATTCAGGCAGGGGTATGGCACGGATGGGCCAGGCCAGTCGTCCACGAATGTGCGTGTGCTTGTGATTCTAGAGAGTGGGTGTGTACTTTTACTAGGGAATAGCAATCCTTACCAGCTGGAGAGGAGGAAAGGGACTTGGGTGTCCATAGTTATCTTTTAAGCAAGTCCTGGTAGTGTTGCACATGGGTGCTGTTGAAGGCAGCACCCTGTCTGTGCCAGTCTGTGTAGCCAGCCGTGCTAGGGGGGGTGGGATGTGCAAGGGTGTGTGCGTGAGTCTCTCTCTCTCTCTCTCTCTCTCTCTCTCAGACTCACTAGTGGTTGAACCTACAAGCAAACAGGAAAGCAGCAGCCATATCCATTAGCCTGAGACAGAGACCCCGGGGTCCCTTGGCTGGGCTTCAGCAGCCAGGCAGGAGGAACTGCCAGGCCCCAGAGCTGTTGGAAGCAGCAGCCACTTATAACATCCCTTAAAAGGTACTTTGTCCAAGAGCTAGTATGGCTTAGTAAAAAGCTTCGTTCAGCCCTGTTACATACTGGCCATTGAATCCCCAAGTTTGCTTTTATTGCTATAACAGAAACAATCAACAGACATTCTAGCCATGAGTTCTGCTTAGAACTAAAATGCTTCACAATACTTCTTTAGCCAATTCATTATGCTAAAAAGGTCTCTAATTATCTTAAATATAGTAATTTAATAGGTCAGTTATGAAGAGATATATGTAGAACAGCAGGATATGAGTCATTTGACTCAAACACAAATACTTCATCCAATTAGCACTGTTTCCAGTCAATTTTGAATTATGATTCCCAGAAAACCCATTTAGCCTGCAAGTAAGTATCAATTTTATTTTTCCAGGGACTGCTCTTTAGAACAACCTACAGGCTTTGCCAGTCTAAACACTAATATTTTATCAAAATTCTCATTTTAAGAAGCATTTTGAATTTTATAAAAAGAATACACTCATGAATGTTTATGTTTCTCATTGTCCAAAAGTATAAATATTTATCTGTAAAACAGTTCATATTCTCCTCACCTTTAATGTTGAGTATGTATATGGATAATGGTAAGCAAAGTAGCAGACATCGTCTTTATGTTGGAAAGTCACTGTGAACGTAATTGTGTAGTAAGATTTTCCTTTCTGACCTCCAGCAGCAATTGAACTTCTTGAAAAGTGATTCCTGAGAGTAGAATGAACGTAATAAACACGTTTGAATAATTTTTTTTTATATCATTGATTATTCCTGAACACACATTATAAGAAACAGAAAGGTTTTTAGTTATTGTTACTTCTCCCTGCATACATCCAGGTTAAATGCACTGGTTCCCACTGCCTGTAAAGAGACTTTATTATAACAGTGGTACACATCCATTCATACTGGGAAAAGGTGAGTAAACAAAAACAAGTAACAACACAAAACAAAAAAAAGGAAGCAAACAACTGCCGCCCAAGAATGGTAATGCACAGACACACTGTACCATCTCGTGTCCCAGGATTGCTCTACGATTGTACCACAGAATACAGGAGCCTAATCACGAGTACCATGTGATCAGTATTACTGGAAGTCACTATTAAGATTTCAAGTAAGTATGCACATATAATATATACAATCTTTTAAGAATCTTCTCTGGAACAGTATGTAATTTCTGAAAAAAAGTATAGAAAGATGAACAACTTAAATGTTAGCAGTGTGCTAACAAAATAGGACCCTATATATTTCAGTCACTGCTGTTACTCTCCATAGTAGCTCAGGAAGAAAACTCTGTTCACAACAGAACAACTCAGATAGAATTACCAAACTCAGGAGCAAATATTTCTCCTCAGAAATTGTACCTCATACTAATCTTCAGTGTAAGATTTGCTTTATGTTTGACTGGGGTACTTACTTATAGTAACAAATATCTGTCCCAACACGAGTCCAACATGGTCGAGAATTTAAAGCTTCTTGAACAGAATACATGAGGGGCTGCATACCTTAAAGAAAAAAATGCATCTCACTTTAATGCTTAACATTAAACATCAAGATCTTGGCAGTAATAGACCACATCAACACTTTTATATGTACAAGTCCCCAAACTACCTATACTCATTTACTCACTATCATAAAGTGTATTCTCATGAATACCTGGGTATTGTACACTCTTTCAACCAGGTGACTAAAGATTCCTTCCCCTCTCCCCTCATCAAGTCCTAATTTTCAGAAAATAATAATAAAAAAAAAAAGAATCAGACCTACAACAGACCAAAATGAAATGTTTAAATGAAAGCTGTAGTAAGTATGAGTGGTGATCTACAAGAAGTGTTGGATCCCATTCCATCCAGCTCACCATTACAAAAAAGCTTCAAATAGAATACAGAAAATTGATACTATCATCCTTCCACCTGGACAGCTGGAAAATAACGCATTCAGGCCAATTTAAAAAAAAAAAAAAAACCAACGACAGTAACTCTTCAAAGCTTATATTTTTTGGAAAGTTTACTTAAGTTGAATACTTAGTATGAAGTTAGAGTAGAAAATAATACATATTAATTGAACTGTATTCACTAGTTAGATTAATTAGCTAAATACATTGACTGCTGTAAGTCAGTGTACCTACATTAGAAAGACAGTGTACTTAAAAAAAAAAATCAAAAATAACTATCAGGTAAGTATATGCAACGTATGAATGAAGATCTAATATAACTGATGAAGATTAGTAAATAATTTAAAAGTATCTTATTACCAGTCAAACTACCTGGTATTCTTGGATTTTATCAATGTGAACTGTACAATTATGGCAAAGAAGTATATGATGCTACTCTGTCCCAGGAGTTTGAGGTTGGTGGGGGGAAAAAGGGAGCTTTTCCACCTCCCTTTTAAAGGATAAATTTCAGAAAATCCAGCAGGAAAAAAAAATGTTCACAAAACACACAGTTTTAAGACGAATGAAACTCCCCTCCCTGCTCCCAACAAGTGGAAGAAAGGTATATTCAAGCAAACTAGGATTTGTGGATGAGGTACAAGCAGCAAACACTACTCTCTGAGGACTGCAAGGGTCACTTGTGAAGGACAGCATTTCGACAGAGACATTTTTCCTTCTCATATAATGTACCTTTCCTCCAATGAGTAAGACAAAACTGTTTGAGAATATCTCCACTTAACTTTCACTTCTGAAAATACACCTCTGTTCAGAAAGGATTTAATGATGACAGATATCATTCTTCTTGCACCTGTGTGGATCAACAGGCTTTCCTGTTGACCACCCTCTACGATGGTCTTAGGACAATATTTAGCTGCAGCCACCAAGCAAATTTCTTCTGCTTTGGCCTCACTTAATATTTAATTTTAAAAACTGACAGCCAGTGTTTTAATATGCTTCTTTTCTTTTTAACTGAAACTTGTCAAAACATTTTCTAGTAATACTATTGAAAAAGAATCTGATCTGACAACATGAATCTACTACTGATCCCAGGGCAGAGGGAAGGAAACAGCTTAGCTGTCTAGTACAGATATTTTTCTATATATATTTCTTCTCGAAGTATGAGAAATGTACCTTACCGTAGTTAAACTGACTGTTTGACTTTTCACAGTTGATGATGTTAAACCGGTAACCAATGCCAGTTTTCATTCCACTTACTTCAAAGTAAAACCACTGATGATAATGATTGCTATTTATGTCCGAATTCAGAATTAGATCATACTCGTTTCTAAAAATTAACAAAAAAAAATCATTATTTTTTTTAAGAAGTAGAAACAAAAGGCCTTATGTATAAAAAGAAGAGTTGAAATATCTTACTTTCTGATCTGAATTACTTTACGCAGGTTTCCAGATTCAAACTTGGAATTAAACTTCAGAACATCTGCTTCCTCTGGTATTGAATAACTGTGAGTAGAAAAAGAAAAGGGACCAAAATGAATAAAACAAACTTAACTGAAACAAACTCATTAATTTTATTTTAGCCCTCACTTGGTAATTCAGGAATTATTTTGAACCTTCCTCTAAATACAGCCTGGATAGCAGAAACACTGTTACAGCAGATGAAGCATTCATTGAAGTCTGTCATAATAGTACTGCTTTAAATATTACAAATCATATCACAGAGAAAGTAGAACAGGGTTAAAGTATTTGCTGAATACTGTTTTCAGAAAAGTAAAAACTTACCTCAAATTATCAAGGTCATACACAACTCTGTCTATAATGTCACTCTGATGAATCAGTCTTTCTATATCTTGAGAGATTTTTGTCCTAAAATAAAAAGCAGAGTTCTCATTTAAATTGTTGCATACTGTTTCCAAATACAAAAGAGGAATTACATCATACAGTAATGAAAATTAATAAAGTTGACAAGAAGACAGTGGGACAGTTTCAGAGACCTCAGCCTCACCCCCACTTATGTGCACAAACTCTAAGTGTACTTAAGTTTAAACACCTGCATTCACAGCTGACTGAGTCCAATAGTTATATGTGAGGGAACTGAGTTCTCATGCACACAACCCACTGGGCTTAATCTTATGGAAGAAAAATGCACCATTTCATACTTTACAGTAGAAGCAGGAATTACTCAAACATTACTTATGTTAATGCTTTAATCCAGGAAAGCACTTGATAACATTAGTAACTTACATGACTCCTACCGTAACTAAAATTAAAGAGTTTTAGAGAGTAGGTCGTGCAGTGAGTGTGTTAGTGCACTAGCTTTTCACCTCTGGAGATCTAGGTTCATTATCGACTAGGTAACAAATAAGAATGAATTTGGTGATGTCAGCCAAATTTCAGGTATATGTTTATCCAGATCATAAAACCATTGCACAACTGGCAGTATCTAGGTCCTGGTTTGGAAAAGTAAGAATGTGTTGCAGTTCAAGAATGAAATATAGTGGCAGAGCTGTGTGGAAAAGCTTGCACAGCACCTGCAATAAGAAGAAAAGGAGGCAGATTAACAATGAAGAATACAGGAAGAGTGGTAAAGTATGTTCAGGCTGGAAATTCTCTGTTTAATTAAAATAAATATTGTCAACAAATGATAAAAAGGACGTAAATGCACAACTCTAGTGCCTCTTACTAAATTAAAACTAACTGGAAAAGAAAAAATCAACAAAATTGTAAAGAGGCTGACTAATCACAACCTATCTGATCAGGTTCAGCTCAGGGCAGAACTACAGATTTTTGATCTTGCATTTGACCTTACACAGCTCCTTAAAACTCAGTATGCGTCAGCTCTAAAGGGTCATAATACTTCCTATCATCACAGGAGTTTCGCAAAGACAAAATCGATTAATGAATATCAGGCATTCAAATATCATAGTAATATAGTAACAACCAATGTAGACAAAGGAAAAGAAATGGTATTTAAGATGCACGTGAAAAGGAAAGTAGTAATGGACATTTTCATGTTCTGAAAAATCAAGAGAAAAGAGAAGCTATTTTAAGATAATTAAAGGAAAAAAATATAAAAAACCACTGTTTCTGTAGAGTTCTGTGTCTAGATTAGTCCTTTGTGGATCCTGATTTACCTGGTGATCACTTCTAAGTGTCAGATGATTAGAAAATACTAAAGTGTACAGCAAAATCAACCTAAAATTTTAAGGAAAGAAAAAAAGTAGGAATTTAAACCCAAATGTATAAGGTGTCGAATTTTGTAATAATTTTCTTCCCTAAAAAGTAGATTAATATAAAACACTTCAGTTATTCTCAATGACATTTTTGCAAACAATAATTTGTCAAGACATTTGGTAAAAATTACAGGTTACAGAATGTACATGAAAAAGCAAAAGCACTCCAAAGCACAAATTCAAAACCACAGCATCTCCTAGCATATTGCAAGACTAAAAAAGACAACCCAAAACCCCACACCAGGTGTGTCTAATAGAGTAAAAAGAAAACCCTAACTTCCCACCTCAGCCCCTCCCTAATGTTTTCTTAAATTACAAAGGTGAATTAAGGTAACCATTTGTTTTCTGAAGGCTTAGCTGATGAGCAGTAACTAACTGCTTACATTTAGGAGAACATAAATCCCACTGAATGCCAAGAGTTTAGACACAGCTTAGCAGAAGACTTAAAAGCTTCTCCATGTCCCCTACCAAACTAATTTTCAGCACCTTCCTATAAACTATAAATTCCTAAAAAGATTAGGCACTTTTTACACGTTCCCTTCTCAGAAATTTGTTATGTTTGCAGTAGCAAGACTGAGTCATTTGTAGGAAACTGAACTCTCAGAACAGTCTACCTTAAAAAGGTGATGCAGGATTTTTAACTCAAGTTTGAGAATATCACCTGATATTTCATTCTTGTTTCATACAAGACCTAAAAAACTTACTTTCAACATAGGAAATATAACAAAAATAAAACATACTCTAGAATTACCTTCATGGTTTAGAAATCAGCTGTATGTATAACCACACATGTAGGTTTGTTGCTTAAAAATCAAAGATAATACAGCGCTTTACATCTAAGCACAAGCATTGGAATGACAAATTCTATCTGACTTCACTCAGTTTTACTCAGGAAAATTCAGAATTATTAAGTACTACAAAAACATACACGAAGATTTGCAAGACTTTCTTCAAATGCAGTTCTTAGGTGACTTCTGACTCAAGATTATCTCCCTTCTATATCAGCTGAATCTGTTTAAAAAATAAGCTTGTAGGGAAGATTCTTTTCCTTCAACACTGAAGGAGGCTTTCTAGTAATGACATACTCATGTTGTTAGTGTTTCAACACTTGGTCATTTCACTAGAAAGATCACTTTTTTACAACACATGTGAAACAGCTGAAGGATTTTAATTATACAACCCAAACACACTTGATCATTTTAATAAGTGTAAATACGAAGTGTCTCATGAAGCTGGTTAAAATGATAAGTATAAAGCTGAAAGCAAGTGGCAAGTTCTCCTACCTACTATTACATGTTCCGCTAGCATGCCGATTTGTCTCTATAGTAACTTACTACGCACATGAGCCAGCTCTTCATACCACCTCTGCTAATTACTCTTAAGAACCACATCACCCTTCATCATCTCCTAATATCTCTCAGTGAAGAAATAAATGGGTGGATTGATGTGTTGGTTTTTGTTGGTTTATTTTTCATTCTGTGTTTATTGGGTGTTATTCTGCAGGACCTAACACAAACTGAATCCTCAGAATTTGTTACCTCTGAATTCTGTTATACTACAATCACTAAAAACAAACAGTTATAGGCATTATTTTTTTTTCCCACTACATTTTCCTTAAAGACAGCTTCGTTAGCACAGCAAAGGGAAGAGCTGAAGTATCTTTAAACTATTAACTGTCCCTATCTTTGCTAAGACCTGAAGGGAGCATTCAGGTGGGGCTTTTGTTTGTTTGTTTGGGCTTTACATGGGTTGTGTTGTTTTGTTTTTTAAGCTACAAAATTCAGATGATGGGGGACGGTGGGAAGGCAGAAGGGGAGACTGTAAGTTAAACTTAGTATTTAGAAACTGAATTACAGAATTAGCAATTACAGGATCAGAACATATTGTTTATCTTGTTTATGGTTCTGAATTGATCAATGTCTACTCACCTATTTTCAAACTACTTTTCACTGAAAATAGTTTTAAATGACTAATAAACATTGTATATGTGCCTGTTAATCTCATCCTAAAGATTGCTTCTCAAGGGAAGGAAAACAACAAAAAAGGAGTATGGTAACTCACCTCTGTACCCCATATGGCCTTTCCAGAATAGGCTCCTTAAATGGGGGTGGAATATGGCCAAAATAATCTGGATAGGCCACTTCTGAATATTCAGGAATAGACTTTGTGGTTTTTACCATTTCAATATAAAGATCACAGTCATGAACTGGTGATACATCAGAAACTTCAAGCATGACTTGTTCCCCCGATGAACTAGATCTGGAATCCTCCTCCTCTGAATCCACTCCAGTGCAGCAGAGTTTTCCCAGCTGGACAGATGATCCTTCAAAGAGGCTACTTCCACAGGGTGAAACATGTTCACAAGGTTTACTACAAGCAAGTGTGGTAAGGCCAGTTTTGCTTTCCTTCTTTGTTACACACCCAGTACCATAATACTGATCATTTTTCGCACTGTTCTGCAGACTGATTCTGTCCAATCCTTTTACAATTTCTTGGCTTAGACACTGGCATGATGGAAGCAAGTTTCTTTGATCATTTTGCTCATGCTGACTACTGTCTTTAATAGTATCTTTCTTTGGTAGTTCCAGAAAGGCTGGCCTTCTATTGTATTCCTCTGTCAATAAAGGATTGCTCTCCTTCAAAGAAACTCCTTTTGTTGACTTGTTTGCTTCAGCAGAGTGCTCTTCTCCTGCTGTAGGAACAACAATAGGTCTAGGTCCACTCAGATTTGCATCAGGTACAAAAGGCTTTGGTTCCTTGGAAATTAAGTCACATTCCTTAAAAAATAAAAGAGAGAAAAAAGATATTAAAAAAAAAAGTAAACAGTTCCTAAAGTTTCATTAATATTAGAAAACTTTCTATTTCATTGTTCCTGAGGTATGTTTCACAATAATCCAAAATAAGTGTAACTTAAAAGACAACAGTTATGTTTTAAACTTACATAAACAATGAAGCTTCAGCTTTTACAAGAAGATAGTGTCACAACAATAAACAAGTAGTTATTAAGAAACAAGCTATCAAGTCAATGCAATTCCCCAAATACTTTAGCCAACTACTTTCAAGAGGTGCACAGCATTTAAGGAAATACCTAACATGATGAATTTTTGTCAGAAATCTCATGTCCTTTCCTACAATTTTACTTCCTGCTGTGTGCAATAATCAGACATTAGAAAAGAGTTTTCCTTTATACCTGCCAACAGCCCCCTTTTCAGTCAGATTAAAGTAACCCGTAACATCTAACTGAATAACTCACTATATAGCACTCTCATGTAGCTCTGCAACTGCTGACTCTCACTTTTTGGCTAGAGGAACTAACTAACCCACTAACATCCTCCCCCTCCCCTCCCCCCCCCCCCCCCAAAAAAAAAAAAAAGTCAAAGTCTATAGCAGAGTCAACACATCATGATGAGGTATGCCTTGGGTAATACATACTTTACCTGAAAGTTTTCCAAAAGTTCCGGGAAAAATTGCTCATACATTTTCAGTTCTTCTATGGGTCTTCCCAATTCCTGTCTAGGTTTCAGTTTATTAATATCAGTCTCTATATCATCATTCTGAAAGAGCACCAGAATAAATTAATCTTGCATCCAGAATTAATGAACTTCTAAAATAATTACATTCACCTTTTAATTCTGATGCAGCCATGCTCTAAAAGCTGAATATCACTATTTTAAAATGAGCTAAACTGTCTCTTTCACCATGAAGGTTTAATCAGCTCAGTTTTATTAATATGACAAAGCCCCCATTTCAACAGAAGATTACAAACATCTAAATTTTCTTTCTTTCATACAAATACATTATGCACAGACATTAAACGACACTTCACATGAGCTCTGTGCATAGTCCAACTATTGCAACCTGGAACGTGGAGATTTCATCTGACTGCAGTGACAAAAGCATAACTGTTTCTATGGAAGATAAACCCTTCATCAGGGCTCATGAGACCCTTGAATAAAATTTGCCTGTCCATACATTGGAATAACAGTTCAATTAACTCCTGAATGTATGTTACATAAAAATATAGAAAAAGGCTGTTCTGACCGTTGGAGAGCAGAACAAGACTTCCCCAAAGTGATACAATACTGACAGGTCTGATCTCTACCTCTACAGCTGGCTGAACTGGCCTAGTCAATCCCAGACCAGAATGGTAGAGCAAGTTAAAAGCAGCTCCTACATACTGAGCAGCTCAGGTGGGAAGAACGGCCTAAGAGAAATACAAGTTGGGAACAGAACCCTGCTAAGAGTTTGCAGTTCTCTTCCTCTGTACTCCAGACACATCAAGTGTGAAGCAAACAAGTTTTGATAAAAATCTGAACAACAAAGGCTGATATTTTCAAGCAGCACCCACCTTCAGTTTCAGCAGCTTCTTTAATTTTAGAAATTTCCCAGGAAACCCCTTCAAAGTCCTTTCACACTTAAAATATATATGGCTGTATACATGATTCAAGCAATTTAAAACCCCATTATGCCTGATTTCTGCCTGTTAATTTTATGTCATACTAACCTTAAAATGTTGGTCCTTATCATCATCATTTTCGGTTTCAACTTCTGGTTCTGTTTCAGTATCCTCATTATCATCACTTTCATCTACTACATCATCCACTGTGATAGAAAAAATCTTTGTAAAGCAGATTACACATTTAATCCAAAACATTTAATCTCTGACAGAGTTATGGCACTGGTGGATAGGGAAGAGCAACTGATGCCATCTACCTGGACTTCTGTAAAGCCACTGTACTGCACGACATCCTTGTCTCTAAACTGGAGATGTGGATTTGATGGATAGACCACTCAATGGGTAAGGAATTGGATGAGTGGTTGCACTCAAAGAGTTGTGGTCTATGTCAAGTGAAGAGCAGTGACAAGTGGCATTCCTCTGGGGTTGGTGTTGGGACCAGCACTGCTTAACATCTTTGCTGGGGACATGGACAGTGGGATCGAGTGCACCCTCAGCAAGTTTGCCGATGACACCGAGCTGTGTGGTGCTGTCGACACGCCGGAGGGAAGGGATGCCATCCAGAGGGACTTTGGCAGCCTTGAGAGGTGGGCCTGTGCAAACCTCATGAAGTTCAACAAGGTCAAGTGCAAGGTCCTGCACATAGGTCAAGGCAATCCCAAGTGCAAATACTGGCTGGGTGATGAGTGGATTGAGAGCAGCTCTAAGGAAAAGGACTTGGGGGTGTTGGTGGATGGAAAACTGACTGTGAGCCAACAATGTGCACTCACAGCCCAAAAAGCCAACCATGTCCTGGGCTGCATGAAGACAAGTGTGGTCAGCAGGTCAAGGGAGGGGATTCTGCCCCTCTGTTCAACTCTTGTGAGACCCCACTGGGAGTGCTGTGTCCAGCTGTGGTGCCCGCAATGTAAGAAGGACATGGACCTGTTGGAGTGGGTCCAGCGAAGGACCATGAGGATCATCAGGGGAACAGAGCACCTCCCCTATGAGGACAGGTTGAGAGAGTTGGGAGTTGTTCAGCCAAGAGGAGAGAAGGTTCCAGGAAGACCTTATAGTGGCCTTCCAGTACTTAAAGGGTGCTACAGGAAAGATGGGGAGGGACATTTATCAGGGAGTGTAGTGATAGGATGAGGGGTAACAGTTTTAAACTGAAAGAAGGTAGATTTAGAGTACATGGAAGGAAGAAGTTCTTTCCTGTGAGGATGATGAGACCCTGGCACAGGTTGCCCAGAGAAGCTGTGGCTGCCCCCTCCCTGGAAGGGTTCAAGGCCAGGTTGGATGGGGCTTTTGTCAATCTGGTCTAGTGGAAGGTGTCCCTGCCCATGGCAGGGGGGTTGGAACTAGATGATCTTTAAGGTCCCCTCCAAACTACAGTATTTTATGACTCTATGATAAAAAAACCTTTATGTTCTGGATTTATTTTCTTTTTTACTTACCACTTGAAAAAACTGTGAAAACCAACTAGTAAACATTAATTACTAGTGCAAGATTTACAAAATAAAATGCGTGTTTGACAATATTGCAGGCCCAATTTATTACACTTCCATGAAGTTTTAAGTAAAATCAAAGATCTCTGGTTTAAACAAAACTAAAAATATATCCAACACTCTTCTACCCCAAAAAACCCAGCAAGACAGCAGATGGCTATTAGAAATACTTTATAATATGTATGCGTCACGAACATCTCAGCATGGCTTGAGGTCAGCACAAAAGGAGGTGGCTCTGACATGTTTTCCCAACATAAGTAATAATGACCACATCCAAAAAAACAATTGAGATCTCAGCAGCTTTTAGTCTTGTGAGCTAATATTGACCCTGTATCAGGGAACAGTGGGAGAAAAGACCCTCTTCACCTTTTTTGTCTTGTTTAAATGGGTGCATAACAATCTAAGGAAAAAAAAAATCAGGAACGTATCACTGAAGATTCAAATCAGTGAGGAAAATACTCAAGGAGAGTGGTCACTGCAACTGCTTAGCCTAGACAGGTTGGGAACTAAATTTTACCCCCAAAGCATACAGCAAGATGTTATTTTTTTAGACATGTGGAACTATTGGGACACTAATGACTAATTTCTACTTAATTTCTACTTAAATTGGAGACAAAATACATCAAATTATCTAGGACTTCTTCCATTTTTAACCAAGAAAAAGAAGGGGAAGCAAACCAATTTACACATGACTAAGAAGTGGGCTAACTCCCTAGTATGTGGAAGTGAGCATTAACTGGTTATTCTGGCAGATGTTCTGATCACTAGTGGCAAATTTGATCTTTTTTCTAGAGCTCTCATGTGGTTTGAGTGCTGGGGTTTTTTTGTTATGTTTTCTGAAAGGTTTTCCATGCAGAAAATTTTCTGAATGACAGTAAACAGCTCACTCAGAGGTCTACAAATTATACTGATTTTCTAGTGTATTCAGAATGATTACATGTCTTGATTTTACAATACTAACTACACAAGAGTATACTTCTAATAAACTCAGATCTGTACCCACCCCAACATTTTGCATGTCTTTTAATACAGAATTTTTTCCTTAAAAAGAAAATCCTATGGATACTATGCCCCTAGGTTTTTCACTTCTTTTTAAAACAGATAACACATCTATTAAAAATAACCAACCACTAGCCTGCTTCAACAGAATACAAGATTTCTGTTAGTATTAAGTAGTGGTTTAATTTCTGTGGATTTTGGAACCCATTTCTTTGAAATGTTGAAAACAAACTTTGAAGACAAAACATAAGCAAACTCTGGCTTCCTGCAGTTCGAGTCTGATCCATTTGAACCCCAATCAGATAGATGTCTTCTTTCACACAATGATCACATTTTATTTCAGGAGGTATTGTGAATAAGAAGATACTAAAAAGTCTGACTTTGCCTCTTCATTTTAAAGTAACTTCCCGACAGCAACTTCATCAGTTGCTTACTCAGGTACCAAGATGTTTCACCATATCTGAAAATGTATTAAATATTATCTAAAAATAATGAGGAGTGTTCACAATGGGATGAATCTATTTCCAACAATGCACCATACAAATGCTCTGCAGACAACTGTTGCCTAATAGACTGCAAGAGTCCAAGAAAGCAGCTCTACCTTTCTCATCATGCAAATGAAGGAATAACCACAATAATTTAAAAAACAATGCTTCAAATGGCATGTTAATCTAGATTCACTACATCCAGTTTATCTGAGTAACAGAAAGAAATCAAGGAATATACACTCCTTAAAACAGGATGTACACTAGATTATATTGCACATAGGAGAATATGAGTTAAAAAGAGAGCCCATTGCCAGGTTTGAGTGAGTGGTGAGGTTTTTGGTAGCGGGGAGGGGGCTACAGGGGCAGCCCCCTGTGAGAAGCTTCTCAAAGCTCCCCCAGCTCCAAGTCAGCTCCACCTCTGCACCAAAACTGAGCCAATCAGCTGCGCCTCTGCGATAACGTATTTAAGAAGGGACCTGGTGAGGAGGTGTTGCAGCAGCTGCGTGAACACCAAGGTCAGTGGGGGAACGGAGGAAGAAAGGAGGGGGGAGGTGTGCCGGAGCAGAGACCCCCCTGTATGCTGTGGTGAGACGGCAGGGCGGCCCCCCCCTGCCACACGTGAAGATCTACAGTGGAGCAGACACTGATTTGTGGCCTGTGAGGGACATCATACGGCCAACTAAGGTGGCTGCACCCGAAATCAGCTGGGACCCTGTGGGAAGAAGCAGCCCCTTCTGTTGTAGTTCAGTGCTGGGAGGATTGCAGCATGCGGGGGTGTCCCACACTGGAGCAGCTCGGGAAGGGCTGCAGCCGTGGGAGAGACTCCAGTTGGATAAAGTTGGTGACCCACGATGGAGCAGTGTGGGGAGCGCTGAGGCCCGTGGGAGGGACTCATGTCAGAGAGAGTTTGTGGAGGACTGTCTCCTGTGAGAGGGGGACCACGATGGAGCAGGGGGAAAAAGTCCCAGAAGCTCCTTCCCACCCACCCCTGCCCTGAAGATGAAAAACTGCAACACTGACTGCACTCCCAGTTCCCTGCCCCCTGGGGTAAGGAGGTAGGGATATCAGGAGCAAAGCTGAGCCCAGGAAGAAGGGAGGGGTGGGGGGAAGGTGATGTCAAGATGTGGTAATGCTTCTCACTGTCCTGCTCTGTCTGTTAAGTGTTGTTGTTAGTATCTGCAATAAATCTATGTTCCTTTTTTTTTTTTCACCTAACAAATCTGCCTTTTGCCCGTGAGCATAATGGGTGATTTATCCCTCCCTGTCTTATCTTGAATCCCAAGCCTGGTTATTTTCCCCTTCTTCGAGCTGTGGGGGAAGGGGAGAACGAGCAGCTGTGTGGTGCTCAGTTGCCCTCTGAGCTCAAACCACAACACCCATTTAAGTTTGTGGACTAATATGTGCAGCCTATGATTTACAGTTCAGAGTTTCATGAACATGACATTTTAGTTCCCATTTTATATTTTATATATCAGAAACATATGTGTAGACAAAATTTTCATCAGTTAAAACTTAACATTAGAAACTGATGCTCTACACTAATATCCACTAACAGGCCCTTTGCTAGCTGAGAAGAATCTGAGTCCAGGTTTTAGTGGAGAACACAAATAACTGCAATTGATTCCACCTTACTTAAAGCGATGTTACATAGTCAAAGATAAAATACTACAAAATGAACATACCATCAGGAGGCAAATTGTACAGCTGAGCCACAGGACCACTGGCAGGAATAACTGGGAGTTGGAAATGGAAAGCACTTTTAATAGTTGGTAAAGGAAGACGATTTTTAGGAAAACATTTTCTCATTATTAGGCTGGATGTGTTGACAAGAGGATCAAGAGTTCTTACTGAAAGGCACTCCTATTAACAGGGAAATAATGAAAACAAGATAAAAGTATCTCTCAAAGTAATAAACTATATTTGTTTTGCAGATTTTTTTAGAATTCACTACTAGGCAAAGTATTTTGTTTACAATAAATTTTGCTAATGTCTCCTCTGAAGGCCAGAGGAACTTCTACCAACTCAAATTCAGATTTTTTAAAAACCCAAACTTCAAAATTAAAAGACTTTCCCCCCTCTTTTAAAATTAAGTTCAACAGCCCTTCCCAGAGATAGTCACAGCCAAATAATAGCAAATATTAATCTAATTCTCTCCTCTCACATTCTGCTTTAGTCAAGTACAGAAAATAATCCTTACCCCCATAATCAGGAATGACCATGAATATAATAAAAGAATTATGATAAATTTGAGCTCAGTATGTGTTTATAAAGCAGAAGAGGCAAAAACAACAAAAACCCAACTGAGATAAACTTACTTGTGAAGTGTTGTAAAGAATTTTCATTCCGTTGGCATCAGTGAATGCTTTTCTTCCCAGTCTGATGTTTGTAACACTTTTAATGCACTGTAAAACTCCTTTACGTATCAGCATGTATCTGTGTCGACTATCATGATGGTGCCAATCAACATAAATTGTTAAAAGCACTTGCACATATCCTCTGTCTACTGCTCTCCTGGCATTTGTTTCTTTATAAAAAAAGAAAGAAAATTAAAAATTGCCCAATGACTTCAATATTATTTTCAAATCAATGTTAACATCTTTCTTTTTACCCAAGTAACTGAATTGTTTAATTTAAAGTAGTATTTTAGCCACACTTAGGAGATTTACACCAACTTAAACAGAAATGACTGAATAACTGAGGCCAGTAGTCTACACTTAATTCTTCAGAATAACAGTGAGTGTAATTTTCATGGTTTGCCAGAGTAACAGTGTGACTTACACTTAAAGGCAATTGTAAGATACTGTTAGCTAGCAAAGAAAAAAAAAAGTTTATATAACACACACACTGTGCAGACACAAAATCTGAAACAAACTTCTTACTGCTGTGATCCACACAGTTTTGCAACAACTATCACTCAAATTTGAGAAACTCAGGATACCTCTACCCCCAATACTGGCGAATCAGTAGGACAACTGGACTCGATACACCAGAGATTAGTGTTTTTATGAAAAGATTTACTTATATGAAAGTGTAGGAATTTATAATGTCAAAACGCCTCAGGACTGAATAAAACCTCTCAAAATAAATGCATAAGACCTTCTCTTTTAAAGACACACCATTTCAAGATTTAATTTCTTTCCCCATGATTAAAGTTTAACCGCCAATTTACAGAATATTAAATATTTCTGAATTATTGTTCTTTCCCTCAAACTGCCAAAATGAAATTCCAACATTAGTAAATACACAGATCTGTAAGACCAAGGTATCACACTGATCAAAACATGAGAAAACTCAGCACCCTGTAATAATTGATACAGAAGTTTCCTGTAATTTGGCTGAAATGGCTTTCTGCAAATCTAATCATGCTTCAGTTCTTATCCAACTCCACTAAAACTACTAGGAATGCTGCAGGTTTTATACAACAGTCTGGAAAGAATGAGTTTTTAATTCCTTGTCAGTTCCAATCCTGGTGCAAAATCTGCTGAGATAACATTTGTCAGGATCCACTGCTGCCAGACAAGATAGCCAACATCTGGGAACAGATGATCGTTTCATTACCCTTGGTTCCACCACTTAATGAGCATCACTGACAGACTTGTCATTAGGACCCAAAACCTAATTATTCAAAAAGGTACCTGAAGAAAACCCTGCATTTTTCCCTGCCATCCAACAGATATTTTCAGATGTATGTACAAAGAAGATGTGCAGGAGTTAAGTTATAGATAACCGTTACTGAAGGGCTGAGGTGAGCCACTGTAAAAGGCTCTTTCTCCACCTTGGATCAAGACCAGTTCTGCACAAGCAGTACAGCCTTTCTGGTGTGTAACTGAAGAGACGATAACTTATTATTAATCGAATACGTACATACCACACAAATATTAAAGCACCAAAGACTCCAGATAAAACTAGCCTTATTTTTTAATCTCCTATCCTTGATTTTGTTTTAGCCACAGACTTAATATTATCTTTACTGTGTGTATATATATGTACACACACATATATATATGAATCTCAACTAGACAAGCAGTTTCTTGTAGTCAAACACTTACTTGATTTTAGCAATGCAGCAAGTGTGTCTAAAGCAACCCTGTCAACATAACAAGAAAAGTCAAACAACATTGTAAAGCTATATAAAGTATTTACTGCTAACAGATATATTTAACATCTACCCTCACATCTTTCTGGTTGCACTGTATCACAGACTTTGCTGTTAAAATTTGGTTTTACTAAAATATCATGCATCTCGGATATATCTGAAGTCTGATGATGAAATCTAAAAATATCAATGCAATGGCTATAAAAACTTTCTGCTTTTGCAAAAAAACACCATAAGTAACAACATAATGTTTATGAACAATAACCAATGGATGAGATACATCTGAAACTCGTGTTTTTATGTTAGCAGCAGAACAAGTACTTCCACACAGGAAACGACATAATTTTAAAAAATTAGGTTAAAACTTGCAGTGTATAAATATATTGAGAAGTAATGCTCATCAATCAGTACTACAATACAATGTGTGAAATTTTTCTTGTACACAAAGATCTTGTCTCAATTAACTCAAGATGTACAACTCGAAGATGCATATACTTATTTTTACCCTCTTTGTAAAGGTAGACTTCATGTATCTGATCTCAGACCATAAACAAGGATATCACGATTACCTACATCATGGAATAGTAAGTTCATATATCTAATTTTAGCTGGGGCTTAAAGGGGAAGGGCATTTTTTTAAAAGATACTCCAGTGCTCACAAATAACAGATTTAGATAACATAACACTATTTTTTTTCATTGAATTTAGAATATGAACAACGTAAGATTATCACTTTGCTATCCAGATGAAAAGTTCAGTTTTCCATAGGTACATACTTCAAAAAAGGTGCTAGTGTATAAAGAAGGGGCTACCTCCAGTTAGATCTATTTATCTATTTTTACCCTGAATTCATTAAAAAAACAAACAAACAAACAAAAAAAACAACAACAAAAACACAGAGGGAGGCAAAAAAAAAAATAAAGTCACCACTTTAAGGTATGCAGTGAATTTATTTCTTTTTCTAAAACACAACAGCCCACTACACAGATATTGCTGGTGCTTTCTACTCTACGTTTTATGATTTTGCTCTAAGAGTCTATAATTGCTTTGAAATAAAACAGAAAGAAAATTCTATTACAAAATAAAACTGACAGTGTCATTCTAAAAACTCAATGAAGATATGGGCGCCAATTCAACAAATTGAAAAATGACGGGATTATCTTCATCTGTTTGTCCTGATTTGAGGATAACTATTGTACAGTTTCCATGCAGGAATCTTAGTGACAAAAATATTTATATTCTTCTACCAGTACTGTAACTAGACATTCAAATATTTTCTGTTACCTTACTGGGTAAAATTAAACTGTCAGATTTGTGGTTCTGCTTGCCACCTCCTTCCACTCTAAGCTTTCGAGTTACAATTAGTTTCTCTAATATTATTTTTCCTTTACAAGTAAGTTTTGAAATTTATCTAAGGTTTTTCTATATACTGTATTAAAGAGACCTTACTTACTTCATAAGGCTAGTGTTCTTTTTACTAAAAGGGCCAATGATCTTAAACATCAGTTCTACTAATCCATTCTTTCCCAAGGACACTGCATTAACAGCTGGAAGAGTTAAAAACAATCCATTTTAAGATAATAAGAAAGGCAAAATTAAAAAAATATATTCACACTAAAACCCATGCAAGTTCATTTTGAAGTACAAAAAATGACAGACATGTTTGTGCTTTAAGACATACAATGACAAGCAAATAGTACTCTGCGCATAGTTAGTGTGATAATCCAATCCTGATAAAATTTGGAAGAGAAGAAAAACATTATTACTTTACAAATAAAATCATGGTTGACTTCCAATGCATGCTTCTGCTCTGTTTTCTTCCAAAAAATTTCTGCCAATTTTCTTCCAAAAAAAAAAAAAAATCTCAGTTTGTCAAGACAGCAGGGTTTCTAAAATGTCAAAACTAACAAGTTTTATGCCTTGCTATTATCCTTCAGTATCAGAATAGACAGGTACATCCATCAGGATTTGAAAGCCAAGCATTCCCTATAAAATTCAGAAATGCCAATAGATACAAGCTTTCCTGAGCTACATGTTAGGCATGTATGTTCTCAGAAAAAAAAAAAAAAAAAAATCTATTAGAAAGGGAACAAAATAAATTGTGTTAAGACCTACATTCTGCTCACTCAGTGTATACATGGCTGAAGCCCAATGCCCACTGAAAATACAAACTGCTGAAACAGGCACAGAAATTCAATTCCCAACCAATGCACTCCTAATGAAGCAGGAAGAGAACAACTAAAAATTGACTTCAGTATAATGAATGCTATGATTAGTGTAGAATTCAGTACTTGAACCCAAGTTGCAATTTCATCATCATTAGCAACAACATTACAGCACTAGAATCTAAGAAAAGTTAGGACTCTCTTCTGGTGGCAACTGTACACAATCCCTAAATAGTGCTACTTATCGGAATGTAATAAACTGCTACTTTTTCTGTTTATAAGGAGTGGGAAATACAGAAAGATAGAATTGATCTAAGCAGAATCCAAATTAGAGACTGAGTTCAATTTCCCATTTTCAGAATAAAGCAACTTTTCAGCTAAGCTGTGTAACTATCTGTATTAACGCTCCCATTTAGAAGCATTTTACCTCATTATCAGAAGTGCAAGAGAAATGAAGTTTCCACATTTTAAAAGAATTGGGACTTTATGAATTATAGGTGCTCATCTGAATGTCCTGAAAACATAAACTTACAGATCATCCTGTGAATTCTCTTGGAGGAATGTGATTAAGTTTTCAATTTCTCATATTTATTTAAGAGGTTTAATGGCCACTTTGAGTTCAAAGGAAAAACTTAAGAGCATCTAAGCAACAGCAGAGATACAGCAAGAAACACACTACTTCCCTCAACTTCCTATTGCCTGCCCAAACAATGAATTAGGCTCTTGTGGAAGAATATTAGCCCAATAGCAGGGCACTTCAACACAATAAATAAGGGGAAGGTTACATAATTAAAATATTTTCTGTGTGAACCAAGTTTTAAATTAAGTGATCAACAATGAAATAAAATATTAAACAGAAAAAACAGTGAGCATGTATAATAAAAAGAATATTTAATTTGAAGTGCTTTCTCAAGCATAATGTTAGTATTTCTGGTTCAAATCTTAAAGGATCAGCATTTATGTAAATTAGATGACTCAAAGTTTCACACATCCAATAGCACCAGTTAAAACCCCCAACTGTGTGCGTATATATATACACACACAGACTGAACAAAAATCAAAGATACACAAGATGTACAAGCATGCTTCATAGCTTTTATTAGAATTCAAGCAATTCGATGATGCAAACAGCAAATTCTCAGATAAAAATAAATATTTTAAACATCTAACATTGAACAAGCATGTAGATCTGGTATTTCAACTGTATCTAGGTAAAAACTTCTGTATCACATGAAAAAAAAAAAAACTATCAGCAGTACTTACAGTTGGTTGAGTAAACTCTTAATACTTGAAGACATGGCAATATTAGCCTGTGGTTTTGCAAATTCTGCTTCACTAAATTCAATGATATGTTTAGGGCACCATTAATTCTTGCTTTCATGCCAATCTTTTTGTCTGACATCAAAGAAATACAAGATTATTCACACTAATTTTGAAATTCTTATAAAAAAAAAAGTTAAATGAACTGTGAATTTCTTCTACTGTCAACTCTGCATACCTATTTTTCATCATTCTTTCCTCCCCTCTATTTTACTTATCCTTTTGTTCTCCTTTACCAATTCTGAATACATGCATGCTTACACAATAATAGAAAGAATTTTTTTCTGAAGTTACAATCATAGAACTACAAAGTATTAAGCCGTATTATGTAAGTATATCATTATCACCTTTTGGACCAATTTTTGCAAGAAGAGTATGAAGAAGCACCATTAATTCTTCATTTGGTGGAGAGTCTTTGCTGGCAGTCAAAAGCAACTGCAATAAGATCTGTGTCCCTCCTTTAGTGACTAAGACGCCTGCCCTCCGACCGCCACCTAGGAATTAAAACTCAACTGATATCTCCGAAGCCAAAGAACAGTTAAGAACCTAAGCTACAGGTATCACAAGTCTTTAGAACAGAAATATTATCCTCATATGTTACTACACTATGCAAGAACATGCTGGCCTTATACTTACAGCAACATAAATTATTTATGTACGATTATTTGAAAGGTGGCTTCAGTCTTTGCGTTCTTTTTATTCTGCATATAAATCACTGTTAGCAAACATCCAAAACAACCAAAAAAATTATTAAACAAACACAACCCTGCCTCCCAAAGAAAAAGCCAAAACTTCTGCAGAAGAATACAGGAATATAATTGCAAATTGCAAACTGCTCCTTAATGAAAACTTACCAACTGAGACAATCTCAATAAGGATATTCAATATATTTAGAATAGTTTGAGGATCTTTTGTATTCTGCAATGTAAAACAGAGGGATCTCTTTACTTAATGTAGAAGTCTAATACAGTGGTTTAAATACTTAAAGCTCAGAGAAACTGCCATCACTAAACCAAACAGAATTTAAGATGTAGCCACCCAGCTAATCATCCTACTATGCAGCCTGAATTAACCAAAAAAAAACAATTAAAATCTATTTTGTAATATGGCATATTAATTAGAACTGATAGTTGACAAATAATTTCTTAGAATATTTAAAAATAAGGGAGAGAATTTCTTAACTAGACCACATCTAATCACCACAGTCCTATACAAGTTTTAGAGACTAGATAGGGTAACAACATATTTATAGTAATACAAAGACCAGTGATAAAATGAAAAAACTTGCTATGTACCCATAACCACACAGATTAAAAGGTTTTACCTCTAGGGTTGACAGGATAACTTCTATTCCAGTGGAGCCCTTAGAAGTCATCTCCTTCTTGGTTTTTTCTGCCAGTCAGAAAAAGACCATTTTTCTTTTAATATACTAGCTTGTGGGCAAAATACCCTGTGATCACATACAGATTGATCAGAAAATCTACACTGTAAATAATAATATCTATTAAAGACTGCATATATAATACTAACTAAAATAAATCAAAGACTTAAGTGACTTTAAAACTCATTTTTGCTTTCACTTGTTCAACAATCTTGTCCTAGAAAAAAACACTGTAAAGATAAAATCTATAAGAAAGCTCTCTTCCAAATACTTCTACTTCTCATATGTATACACATATGTATACTGTGAATTATTACTTAAATTATAGCTGTTTGACAATACAAAATGCACTCGGTGTAACCAATACTATATCAGACAACATTACACATGGCCTTGAACAAGTGCTTTAAACAATCAGTGACAAAAATAGATGGATAATCAAGTCCACCGAACAGAAACAAAAATTATAGAAAAGTCCAGACAGGAAGAAATACGAGAAGGAAGGCTCATCAAAAGAAAAACTACCAAAACCTTAAAACTAGGATATTTACCTTGACTCTGAACCAGATGAAGGATCTTTGAGGTAACATATCTGGCATTGTCTGCTTCTCCTAATACAGAATCCAAATTGATCTTCTCCAGCTGTGACAGCAGAGACATAGTCCGAGAACTGGTAGAAACACTACAAGAAAGAATTTTTACATTCATTTTTCCACCTAGATCAGAGGAAAAAAACACTAACAACAGAAATGCCATGTCAGAATAAAGGGGAGTTGCTAACTCACTTTCATACTTTATCTCAACTGGAAAACAGTCTTAATTCTCTTTAATTCTGGCAAATTTACAGATTTTACAAAGCCTGTATTGCAGCAGACTAATTATATATAACAGCATCTCCAAGAGCAACTGTGAACAGGAAATTAGTTGCAGCAAATAAAATCCAGATGTAGGTACAAATGTTGTTTATGTCAGTTAGAATAATTTATATTTAATATAGTTTATCTTAAGTGCCAGGATACTGAATCAAACTTGTCATTCAAGAAAAAACTGCCTATAAACAGTCCCAAAGACTGTTTGCCTTCCAGTCTTGTGTTTCAAAAGTGAAAGAATATATAATTTGTGAGGTGAGCAAAGCAGCACCCACCATTTGAAGAAGAAGAGCACCATTCTGAAGAAAAAATTTTTGAAGGTGTCCAAAGCTATCATCAGAGTTTGGATTAACTTTTAACACAAGGGTATTTTAGCCTGACATCATAAAATTGCCTTGAAAATGTATTTAATATAAGAAACAAATTTAAACCAGGGACTCATATAGGTAGGTAGATTACAGAGAAAAAAAAATGTAAATATTTATAGCATTCAAAATAGAATCAGTCTATAAATTGTTTTATTTGCTCTCCAGTTTTAAAACACAACAGTTATTCAGAATAGTGCTGAGATTCACATTTTCACATTAAAGTAATTTTTAGACAATTTTTTAACATTTGAAGTATAGTCATATAATTAATTACAGGAAATTGTAATTTCCAAGGATTAATGACCTTGACTTTACACTTTTGTAACATTAGCGTCCTGCAATAATCAACAATAATTCATTTTATACACATACTGTTCTATCTGCAATAAAACTACAGTCTGTAACTTTAGCTTTATACATATGTCAGTTTTGTTTATAACAATGGGGAATTATTACTCTTTGATTTGTATTTTACATATATGAAAAGGTTTCACACTTACAGCTAACTCTACTAAAATAATTAGCTTAGATTTGGACAAGTATGCTAAAATCAAGGAAAAATAGGCAGCTGACAGCAAAGGCTGTACTGCCATGAAAGCACACTGATACAGCAGCTGCTGAGGAAACTGCTTCTACCATTTTTCCACACTGACATCTAAATGAGAAGCATGACGAAAAATCAATTTCAGATTACAGATGATACTTACAAGCTGTTAACATCAGTAATAAGAAATGGTTATACTATTTATAGAGCATAAATCAAAATAATTTTATATGATGAAGTAAGTATATCACCTTCTCAGTTATTTGCTAGACTTTGATTTTAAAGTATCTTTGGATCTAAAATAAATCTGTCTTGGTTGCTAAAATATTACTTGCTCAAGTAAAGCATAATCCCTCCAATCCTTTCTCATCATCCAAAACCAGGTTGAATAGTATAAAGACATTATTATTTGCCTAAAATTCGTTTTGTTTAATTCTATGCTCCCATTCATCCTCTGAACTTGAAACACTCCAAAATAAAACCAAGATTTTAATGAAATCTATAACCTCTGCTCAGCCGGTATACAAATTGACAAACTTCCAAAAGATGTTACCTTCAACAGCTCACAATCAAAACAAGTAAGGAGTCCAGCCAACCCACATATAAACCAATGTGTAAGAGAACTGCTGCTTCAGTGTGTGTGCGTGTACATATATAAAATTTCCACTGTGGTATATCATTGATCTCACACAGAAATAAATGTAGTCTGAAAGCTGGAAACAACCCAAGAAAGCAAAGATAATCCTTAGGAACAAACAAACAAACAAACAAAAAAAAACAATACAAGTTTTCATAAAGACAAACTCATTTACAGGCACTAAAATTTCAGAGCAAACATGATTTTTGACTGCTGTGACCTACAAAATTCAAGCAACACTGGCACATGGAAGTAATATAACATGTACAAATTTAGCATCTAACATAATTTCTCCCTACTTACTAAAAGATTTAAAAGGTTCAGGAATGGTAAGTCATTCTCACTACTGGGTGATATAACAATTTAAGTCCTAAGATTTAGAAGTATAATATCCATCTGGGGCCAGAGTTTCTATCAAGAGCAATGAGTGCTCACTGCAGTGGTTAAAGAGGTATCTTTAGAATGGTTTTAGGTTATTCATCTTGCAAGAAGTCTTCCAACAGAAATATAGTCAAATAAACTTCATGTCTTCAGCATACCAAATAAACTGTTATTGAAAATAACATCAGCTCAGAGTCTATGCTGAAATATAAATTCAAGTCCTGATTTCCTCTTAGCTATGACTGAGTTTTCTTCCTAAAACAAGAATTATGTATTAATATTCTGCACTAATATACGTAGTGGTTATAATACTGTGAGAGCTTTCAATGTCTGCCTAGTAAATCAGAAAGGCTGTAGGACAAGAAATAGGGCAGCCAGCCTGACTGACTCTGATCCTGTATGTAATATTGCTGTGACAATCCATTTGACCTAAGAACAAAATAGAACCCAATTTGCAGTGCGACTCCTTCTGATATTTGGAATGCACATTCATACATTTTGACCAACAAACCATTCAGGATCCAAATCTGGAAGACAGCTCTCCAAAACAGAGGGGCAACATGGAATTCAGTATTTTCAATCCAACAGCTAGGTAAACCAAGGTCGTCGTCAGAGTGAAACAATAAAAGCTGTGTCCTGTCTGAGCTAAATTTCCTCTTAAGAACCTAACATTGCAGAAACTCACACGTGGCCCTGAACACTGTGGCCAGCCTTTCATACAAGACTTGTCTTCCCACTAAAGAGACATTTTTGACCCAATTCATTCTAAAGCTTCCTCACAAGAGCACTCTGTAGTCACTGCAGGCAACAGAGTTTCTGCTATGTTTAGCTATAAAAATCATGACTGTAAAGCACCAGAAGAAACTTCCTAAGGCCATATAAGCTATTCTCTTCGGAGTTGGATGAACACCACAGCTGCTCTTCATGACAGACATATGCCCAAACAGTCCATAACAGCCTGCAACAACGGTGATTCAGTAACCAAAGGCAGCTTCATTCTCACACCTTGTGTCCCTTCATTTGAAAGATTTTCTCCCTGCAGTTTAATGTTACTATTTCTGGCTCTCCTCACTACAAATATGACTGTCCTTTATCTCTTGCAGTTGTATACCTCTCTAAGCACAGTACCTTGCACATCTTTCCATCAAATATTCTTAGCCATTTTCTGCATTTCACAAGAGTATTTGGAAATCATTTGGTCCTCTAATATTTTTGCAGATCTTTCCAGTTTCAAATTGTCTGCAACCTTAACAAGAACTCTTTCTTCTCTTTCAGGTCATTAGTAGAAGCGCAAAGTATTTTCAGTCGTTCCCAAAAAGAAAAAGAAAGAGCACATCCAGAAACAAACTGTGCACTGTTTCCTTCTGACAGTGATCAACTCCCACTGCTCTGGTATCCAGTCAGTGCCCTACTCCAGAGCACTTGGACAGAGCAATTGCCTTAGCTCCCTGATGGCAATCACATGCAATGGTTATTTTAGTAAAGCTTTAAACACGAACGTGGTATTCCAATGCCACTTTTCTGCTAATGAGACCTGTTACTCTCTCACATATGAAACATCAGATGTATTTTCAAGAACAACTCAAACCACCTTTGGCTGTTCGCAGCCTCACACATTTGGTTAGTTCTTCCAGGATCCTTCTGTGCAAAGAAAAGACGACAGCTGATCTACAGCTACTTAGTTTCTGCTCCCTGACTCCCACTGACACAACCACCATGTTTGCTGTCTCTGTCTTTCACTACTTAACCCAAATATCATGTGTTCTGAAGACAACTGATAATTATTATTCTGGGATGGATTTAGACTTTTTTTAAGCATCCTGAGGTGAAGTTTACCAGGCTTATTTGATCCCCTACACTGCATGTCTCCATAGGCAGGAAACCCTTTCTCCATCCCAAGATCAAATGCCACAGCTCAAAATGTCCCTCACAACACCATCTTACCTAGAAAAAAGAAGCATGAACAAGCCTGACACCATCTCAGCTGTTGCCAAAGCGTACAGTGTGACTCTAGCTAACCAGACAGCTTTGTGGATTTTCTCTTTGTCTGGTTAGGAAAGCTAGGAGTAGATATAGAGGAAGTAACTGCCCAGACAGTGAGGAACAGAGGACTTCAGGGGTTCATGTTTAAAAGAGAACTCCCTCAACAAGAAAACATCTTCTCAAAGAAAGTTCCCTTACTGCAGGGACTTTTCTCCCAGTCTCACCAACTCCCCAAAAGTTTAAGCATTATTACTCTGATTATGATGAATTCACAACTCTCCATGCGTCCCTGTACAGTACTTTGCTATGCAAATGCTAAAACACATCATTACACCTTCCTAAGTGTTTGTTCACAATGAGAAAGATAACTCTGATGGCTGTCATGGCAGCTTACAAAAATTTAGTTATTTTAGAATGGTTTTGAGCTATTCATCTTGCAAGAAGCCTCCCAAAAGATAACAGTCAAATGAAGGGAGTAATCAGAAACCTTCAGTTTACCAACTGTACCTACTTCCCCTGAAGCTGCTGTTTGAAGTCAACTGGCACACGCTGACATATCAGGGAGCGTCTTCTTCCCTCGCAGCAAGTCTGCTGTGTTTCAGCATGTTACAGTGAGCTTTTTGAAAAATACTTTAAAGTAGGCAGACTTCTTGTGAGTTTTTGGTTTATTCCAATGCAAACCACTTCCATATTTTTTCTCAACTACCTGCAGTTATCAAATAATCTTTAGAGAGCTGATACTTCTGATTATTGTACAGAGATAGCTGTGAACTAAAGTCACCATAATTTATTCATTACTTTGGGAACCACAGTTTTGAATTGCAGGGATGGAAGCTTTCCTTTTAACTCAATAACTAAAGAAGAATAAATGGCACTTAAGTAGTCACTTTGTAGAAATCTAATATTCTTTGTGATAGTATACTGCATGTATTATAATTAGTAGTATTTCCAAGAATACTCATTGTTGATGGAGAGTTGAAGTTTGCTTATCATACCGCCTAAGGAACTAATATACCATAAGTAGAAAACATAATAGTTTCCTTACTATTTCCTTTGATCCATCTCTTACACAAACAGGAGCAACCAGTCCCTGATATCTAGCTGTTCCACTGTTAATTCTACATACAACAGTTTAAACTAAAAATCTACATACAACAGTTTAAACTAAAATTTGTAACTCCATCCCAAAATATAAAATTAATCCACCGTAGAGCATGTCCTTCATGCAAATTCATCCACCCATTTAGAAGATAATTGGTATTTCAGAGAACTAAGACTGAAGCAAAAATTCCCTATTTTCCCATCAATAGAATATTTTTTTTTTAATAATTAGATGGTTAGATTTAATGAGGTGGTTTAACCTGTACTAGTTTAGGAAAAGAATAAGACTGAAATCCTTTCCTGATGCTTAAGAGATATTTTCTCTTCCACAGATAATCTCATAACTTTTTCAAATATTTGCTAAAACAAGTTATCATGAAAATAACAAACACAACTTTTCAATTCTTAAAATCTTCTGTAATCTCACTCTTTTATGTCCTAACTGTTCAAGGATTATATACATCTTAAGACAAACATCGTGGCTTCTTATACAGTATTATAAACTTGTCCTTTAATTCATTCAATATAAATTATTTTATGTTTTGCCAATATTTGCTTGAAATTATTAAATTAGTTGATAACTGTTACAATGAAATGTAACTTATATTTTAACATGTCTAATACTAACTGAAAATTTTAAATTTAAAGAGTTATTTATTAAATATGAAGCTACTTTATGCTAATCAATATTGACCCCCTGATGTTTCAGGACACACATTCTTACCAGGGGCTCATAATGCATATTTGATTTATCTTATTATTATGATAAAGACTGCTTTTTTACAAATCTCAAATAGCTTAATGTTCAGAAGTCACTATAGTTTTAAATTTACCTTTTTTCAGATGACGTTTTTGCTTTGTTCATATCGGACACCTGATTCTTCAAATCACCATCTCTGATAACCTGGAAGATACCAAACAACTAGAAATTACCAACATCTTTTTTTCTTTAATGATGAAATGCTACTGTGATATTCGATGTCTCTACACTAGAAATGTTAAATAAGTTAATTTGCATTGATTGCATCTCCCCACATTGTCACAAATTCTCTCTTCAATCTATTTGATACAGCTTTTAAAATAAACTATTGCAATGTAAGTATGGAGTATGAATCTGCATTATAATTCAGTCCTATGAAGTTCAGAGATAATTTGATCATAATGAAACAGAAATTTGTATCAGTTACTTAACAGACAGTATTTTCATATCCATTACAGAATTCTATCACACAAAGCTTTTGCTGAAGCCAGTGAATACAGTGCTTTAAACTCACTTGACAATGTTATGAAATGCCACAACACACATGAAATGGCAGTCAGAAATAAGTATCTATAGGATAACTAGAACTAGATGTACAGTGAGAAACATGGAGTGTTTGGTGTTCTTATTTAAGCAAGACCTGAATAAATTTCTTGGACAGAAACCATATAGTGCTAAGGTCTCAATTTTCCTATCCTTTTAAGGACATAGTGTCCTCAGGGTACACTGCTTCCTCAAACAGTGCCTCCAAGAAATTAAGGTTGCAATCTACAGGGCCACTAACTGAACCTCAGTACTTCCATTTGAGATCTAGTATGAATGACGAACACTCCCACTGTGGAAAAAAACCCAGTGTCCTCAAAAGGCACAGTGGTTAGTTTTAAGGTAGAAGACAGAGTAAAGGAGAAAAGGATGTTCAAAGACTTAGATGGTGAGAATGGAGAAGATAAAGCAATTGTTCTCTTGGCAAATGCAGGCAAGAAATCCAGTGAGGCACACACATACACACAGCCCCCTCACAAAGAGAAATTCATAAGACTTCTCAAAAATCCTTGATGTTCAGCACATACCCGGGTTTTTATTACGGGTAAATTACACTCTGGAATTGCTAAAAGCCTAAAGCAGATGAAGTATGAAGCAAGGTTATTTCCAGACTTACCTGAAAGCAGAAACTTTTCCCAGCAGCCAGGAAGCAAATGCTCAGCTTTTCACAAGAACTCCAGATTGACTCAAGTTAATAGGTGTCCTAGATTTGTCCAAGTACCCTTCAGGTGTAAACTACCTTGACTTCCTTTAAAGAAAATCAATAGTTACAAGAGATTATCTGTGTCCACCACAATGCAGACAATCTCACAAATTAAAGAGTCAGGATTATTCGAACCTGGTTGCAGGTCTTACTGAGCAGGAAATATTAGATTCTTGAATTCAAGGAGCCAAGCGCTGTTTTGCTTGCAGCGTTGACCCACTGTCAGACAGATGATGAACAGTCTGCCAGTGCCAATAGTGTCTACATATTATAGTGTACTGAACTGCTGTACAAGTGGAGCCAGCTACAGAGCTGAACTATCTTTAACTGCAAGGTCTTAATTTGCTTTGCTCTAAATGTACCACAAAGTATTTCAGTAAGTGCTAATGTGCAAATGCTTGAGATCAAGGGGAAAAGACAATAAGTGCAAGAACCTCTGCAAAAAAAAAAAAAAAAACAAAAACAACAGTGTGAAGGAGCAGGGAGAAAAAGGATAGAAATGCATATATCAGCAATCCAGAGAGTTGTGGTGGAACATTTATGCATACTAAAGTACCAAAATATGTCTTTAAAATTTTTCTAGGTGATGCAAAAAAAGCCACTTCCAAACTATTTAAAAAACTTCTATTATTATGCTTATTTTGAATAAAGGGTTGATAAGGTAAAGGCAGAAGTTGCATGAGTCTCAATTTAAACATACTTTTAAAATACATTTAATGCCACTTCCCTGCCAGTGGTAGCAAAGCAGTGGGTAAATTAGTATCAGCTCATCTGCATTTAAAAGACAAACAACAATTTTACCAAAAAAACAAAAATAAAAACACCCCAAAAACACCACAACAACAAAACAAAACAAAATCTGACAAAACAAAAAACTGCCTCAAGTTGGAGGGGAACAGAGCAGAGCAGGGAGCGTTGACTACTAGTTAAACTTCAAGTTAATATATGCTGGATTCTGTGCAACCTCCATCTGCCTTTTCACGTTGTCTGTGGAATATTGCTCCCTCCATCCTCCCACCTGCACAGGGGAAACAGGCAGCTTCTTCATAGGGAATTTCTCCAGACAGGTAAAGTTCAAATCAGAAAGCTGCACTTACTGTAATTTATCTTCATGTTGGTAGCACTATTAAATGGACTGCAAGAAGTTATAAACACAGGTTTCACCTTTTCCTTTCTCCCCAGAAACACAAAGACATGCCTTACGTGGCTTGTATTTGCCTCCCTCCTAGGTGAACTCTTTGTCACTGAGCCACTCACACACCTTCTCTGCTGATCCATCTTTTCAGCCCCATGAAACTTTGCCACTCACTGGCAAAGCTCCTGCAAAAGGGTGGGGGCTACCACCCCCACCCCCACCTCCCTACCCCCAATATTGACCTTTCATGTAAGTTTTGGCATGTGCTGAAATGTAACAGTGACACAGAACCCAGACTCCTACTTCTTCGATAAATACTCTAACCACAAAGCTACTGCACAACATAGCAAGCACTACCACAAAGCGATTTTCTTTTGCTCAAAACAATGGCTAAATAAATGAACTGGCATAATTTCATTCACATGTTTCTATTAGGCATTACTGGGAGTGTCTGCTAGACTAGAGAGGATTTGTAAGGACACCATCTGCCTGAATACTAAATTGATTTATATGCATTAGAAGAACAGCAATAAGCTTAACCTCTCCAAGACAGCAATAATTCTGGTCAGATCTTGTCACAGGATTCAGAGGAAATTTTACTGACACAAGTTAGGTAGCGACCTGCATGAGGGGCAGAAGGGGAATTAGTAATTCTGGTACTGTGCTCTTAATGCTCAACACTAATACCATTCTGTTAGCACAGGTGACTGGACCTCAGAGCTTCTGCAAGAAAACATAAAGGGATTATGGCTAGGATCACAGAATCCAGATGTTGCTATCCTCTTTCATAAACAACGTCAATCCCAGTTGTTCTCATGTGGATGAAGAAACTTCTAGATTTGGGCTTTTCTTTGCTCTGCCAGGTTTGGGGTTTCCTCCCTCCCCACAACCCCTGAAGATCACACATCAAATACTCGTGATGTTTCTTGTCCAAACTCTTCACTAGGGACACCAAACGAAGCCCTTTTTTTTTTTTTTCTCCCCCCCCCCTCCCCGCTCTCACCTATCTGTATCTATTGAACAGTCAAAACCAGCTCCTGATTCTTACAGAAAGTGGTGTCTCACTACCATTTTAGGCATTCATTTACTTTTGTGATCCTATATCTGATGCTTTGAGGGAAGAGAAACACAAAATTCCATCTGTATCAAAAGATAATCAAATAAATAAAAATCCCCTTCACCAAAATCAGGCCAGTGCCAGACCCACTTCCCTTGTCTTCTCTCTTAGAGGAATCCTTTTTTATTTCCCCACAATATCAGGAACTTCTTACCACAGCAGAAAACTACCTAATCATCAAATTTACTCTCCATCAACTACCTAATAATGGAAAAAGGGAATTAAAAATAAAAGTAAATGCTACTAACCAAATACTCTGCATGCACTGTCACAGAGCTCTTCTTGCATCTTATTTAAGATTCTGGTAGTTAAACTGATGCATGTATTTCAGGGAAAAGTGAACATATCCCTTATTTATTGTAAGCCATCCAGGTGGAATTTCTACATGCTCTAAACAGCCATCTTTAAATAAAACTGAAAAAAATCAAACCACTCAGTACAGTAATGCATGACTCAACTGCACCAGAACCTGCAGTTAATTGTATTCACTATAAATTGTTTTCCCTTTCGTCTCCCATTAATCACTAATGGACAGTAAAGAAGGCAGACAGAAAACCAAACTGCCATCCTTAGTCTAACTTACAATCATAGCATGAAAAAATGCACAGTCACCATTACAATATGTCAGTGTTGAGCGCTTTCATTGTCATTTTGATAACATCATATCTGAAAGACATTCTCGTATCTTAAACACATAGTAACCTCACACCTGAGGCTCAAAACTTTTATTTTAACCAACAGCAACTCTGCTTTCATTGTTGCTTTTTTATTTTTTCTTTTTCACTGAAACTGGAAGTTTTTTGTATGCACAGTTAAAACATATATATTTATATTTGGAAATATACCAGACTGTCTTGCCATCAAGCCCATTTTCTTGCAATGGAAAATCTCCCCCAAAAATATGTTTTCTAACAACTGCCACGCAAGACAAATCTACCAGTATCTGGCAAGCTAATGGCAAGCAAAGGGAGCAGTATTAGTCAGAAAGGGCAAGATGACTCTGCCAGAAAACCAAACATTTAGAGAGCCTGCCAAGTAAAGCCTCTCTGGAGACCACGGAGGCTGAAAAAAAAAAAGTTGTTATGCTAAAATCCTGCTATCAGAACTCTCTGTTAGAGAAAACAAAGCTAATCTATCTGCTACTGAAGGTGGAGGATGTTCTAACAAAATTCACGTGCTTCAGTTGACCAAAACATTTTAACATAGAACATGCCAACCTTGAGAAAGGTAACCGTAATTAAAAAATTTAAGTATTTTCGTATTTTATTTTCTTAACTGTCCTCAAAAAAAAAAAGAAAAAAAAAAAACAACCACACAACCACACACAAGAATAACAAAACATCACAGAAAATTAAGTCCTTAAAAAAAGCTAGAGACTTCCAAAATATACCTTGGTTAATACTAGGACTTTTCTGAAAAGTACTTTGTAACTTTGTTTGTACTTCGTTTGTTTCCAAAGACAACAGCTCTTTTCATCAAATCAAACTAGAAAAATCAAAACCAGGTATGGAAACGCAGAGTTTACTAACACTATTAAATTTGTTCTACTTGAGTGTATTCTATTTTCTGTGGTTTTATTTTCCAGAAACTTCTTTTCTTAACTAATATACTTCATATCAAAGTAAAGGCCTATTTTTCAAGTCTGTTCACAATGTATTAAAAGTATTTTATTATCATAAATGAGTTGCAAAAAACACATAACAAATCATATTCATAAAGAGACAAAACAAAGCTTCAGTTTTATTGTGTATATCTATCACAGTAAGTCTGAAAAACCTGTAAGATTGTCTATATATATTTTCAATGTTTGCTCCGTCTCTGAAGCTAGATGCATTCCAAAGTGTTTTCAAAGCCAGAACTCAGGCTTCACTTATGCTTATCATGGAGTTACTGATTTGAAAGGTTAAAAAAAGTAACCATGGACAAGTGCACAGCAGATAAGTGATTTCTTTGCTGTGTATTTATCAGATAGTGGAAGCAGGTAGCTGAGCAAAATCTTTGTGAATGATACAGATTAAAAAAAAAACCAAACCAAAAAAACCAAACAACCACCTAGTACATGAAAAAGGAAGGAATACAAAAGTTTAGAGGACAGAATTGTGTCAAAAAGCAATGAATTAAAAAAAAAAATAAATAGAGAAACTCTGGGTATGAACTGATAAAACATGTAATGATTTAAAACTTCATAAATGCTAGGCAGAAAAAAAGCTAAATAAAACCCCTCCACTAGATGAGGTAATTTCATTCTGAGGTATGCTTCCAAAAGATACTTTTACCTCTCACAGAAGTACACGTTTCCCTCCAGTCCCAGTGCAGAATAAACTAGAAGCAAACTGGCCTTTGATAGTGTACCATTTAACATATCCCAAAGTCTCCAAAGCTGTTTATAGGTCAAAATATTCTTCTTTAAAGATGCTGAAAAAGTCTGTTTAAACACAACCATGTAAAAAGACCATTGCGTTCTTTGCCTTTGAGGCAATCTTAATTCCAAAATACTACTTGTGGTTTAATTTTTTAAACACGGAAGTAAATTGTTTGCAGAAACAGACTGTTTACCTAAGTAAATTTATACTTTTAGGAATAGGCCCTGTGTTCAAAATCCAGGATGAGCAGCAACATGTGACAGCAAGAGTCACTGTCTCAGTACTAAGAAGCAAAGTATCCAGAATGCTTGCAGAGAGCAGGTAAACACTGCGATAACCAGCATCCTAAATATGGCAAAACCCCACAACTATCCCTGCACAGTATGGAAAACTGATGTATGTTACTTGAGATTACATCTGAAACATTCACTGAGGCAGCACAGTGCTCTTCCTTTGACAGCAGTTAAGAACTGACCACTGCTGTTAATACAGTGGTGCTGCCACCACCATCTCATCCTCTTGTACCATAAGGAGGACTGTCCCTTTGCAAAGGGCTCAGAAATTATACCCTAAATCACCTCTTTGGCCATTTAATAATTTACTCATTCACATAGGACATATTTTCTGAATTCAGTACCCCAAGTGACATCTTCCACAAATATTTTTTTGAAAAAACTGTTTTTGACAGAAAACACTTCTACTTTAAAGCCATACAAGCTAGCAAAGTTAATGGATGTGAACAGCTTTCTTAATAAAAACATGAGCTCTAATGTTAGATGAAAACTCTCACAGACTGTTTTGAGTTGCCACAGTTACTTGTACAAACTTTTTTGTATCCTGAAAGCTCC